TCTAGCCCTACTGTTATTGCTCCTGGTGTTTTACTATTTTCTTCAGCATTTAAAATTTCTCGAAAATCTTTTTCCCATTGAAGTAACTCGATTGGTTTATTTCCTGTTGATGACAAGTCAGTTTTTTCTTAACAGTGCTTTTCGTATTGTTAAGAAGTTTTTTCAACTGAACTATAGTTACGTTTTTCCCTGTATATTTTATGAATTCCTCTCTAATTATCATCCAGGCAGTTTCTATTGCTGAAACCATTTTTGGTACCATTGACTTATTTAGTACTATTTTATTGTTTTCTGACTAGCTGTGCTCGGTTATCAGAAGCAAGTTTCGGTTGTTTACTTTCTTCGACACTAGAAGACATCCTAGTTGTTAGTAATTTTGAGCTTTCTTGTGTCCGAATTAAAAATAACTTAGTTAAACAAAAATATACAGAAACTTAAAGAGATTTATACGACGCGTAAGGTTTAGAAAGCAAATACTCGTAAATAGGACGATTTAAATATGTGAATAAGGATAAACAAGCTAAGTCTTGCACGCGCTGCAGGTATTACCTCAATATTAACAAGTAGACCTTTCTGAGTCATGCCTTACAATTGTTCACTCATTGCCAAGCATTTGCTTCAACTCTCAAGGCAACTCTCGTAAGTGAATGCTTCTGAAGTGCTTACTTGGTTTTATTCACCTCACCCAATATTGCATAATAGAATTTACTTCGCAGTTCATAGATCTCTGCCCGCTTTTCAGCATGGCTTTCTTACTAAGAGATCCACAGTAACTAATTTAACAATCTTCACTCAGTTCGCTGTTGAATGTGTCGATCGGCAAGGTGAACTAGATGTAGTATATACCGATTTTGCTAAAGCGTTCGATAGGGTGGACCATGGAATACTTTTGAATAAACTTTTTCATCATGGATTCCATTCATCAGCATTAGCACTCATTCAAAGTTACCTTCATGAAAGGAAGCAATATGATACTTTTAATGGATTCAAGTCGTACCAGTATATAACTAAATCAGGAGTGCCTCAGGGTTCAAATCTTGGTCCTGTATTGTTTATCTTATTTATTGATGGTGTTCTGCATTATTTAAGTTGTAATAAGCTCCTCTTTGCAGATGATTTAAAATTATTCAGGATTATTGAGTCAGAGACTGATTGTATTGCACTTCAGCGTAATATTGATTCTCTACTAGCTTGGTGTGACGAGAATAATTTATTTCTTATGCGCCTAAGTGTAGTGTAGTCAGCTTTTCCAGAGAAACTTCTGCTTTAGTTATAAAATTGCGGACGCTTACTTAAATCGTTATAACTCAATTAAAGATTTGGGTGTAGTTTTTGACCATAAACTTAATTTTGACTCCACATAGCTCAAAAGGTGAGTGAAGCTTCGCGGGCGTACGGTTTTATTGTGAGAAACTGTAGAAACTTTAGCCGCCTAGATTCACTGTTGGTTTTGTATTCTGCATATATATATATATATATATATATATATATATATATATATTAGATCGAAATTGGAATATGCATCGTTAATTTGGAACCCAATTTATAACTGCTACATTGATTTTCTTGAGTATGTTCAGAGAAAGTTTCTAAAATCTTTATCTTTTAAAGTTGACGGTATATATCCTGAACGTGGTATATCTGAAAGTTTGTTATTGTCTAGGTTTCAAACGCAGTCTTTAGAACTGAGAAGGAAATGTGCATCAATTATGTTCTTGCATAAACTACAGGTACTGCACAATCAAATTGATGCTAATGGGATTGTGGCTCAAATAAACTATATTGTTCCATCTATCCAAACTTGTACAGTTGAAACATTTTATTGTGACAGGGCTCGCACAAATTGGTTTTTGAACGCACCCATATAGGGGAAAGTCGGGAATATTGGACCGCTTGCTAAAATGGACCACCACCAAAAACCCCTTTAGAAAGAATTTCATTTGAAAGCTGGCAACACTGAACCATGTGCCACTAACTTCAGTGTGCATCGGCCATATTGATTTCAGTAAAAAAACAGATGTGTTGTAGTTGGCAGCAAAAACGTTTAATTCGTATTTTGACTGTAGTTTTGAGTGGGTAGTGCTAAGGTTGTAACTAAGTGAAAGGTAAGCTGTGAGGGCCTGTATTTTTTTTTGAGAATCCGTAACATGTCTGTAAATGTATGGTAAAAGCACTCTGCGGCTTTGATAGGTTATGTTTTTGTACCGCCTTTTTTTCTTGAGGATCATATAGTTCGTTAATTTGGACCACATCCAGTTTGTTAAAATGAACCGGTCCAATTTACCGTACTTCAATTTTATATTGGTGAAGCAAGGAATACTTTTGTTTGTTTTACAGATGACTGAGAGGAAGTATTACAAGTGGAAACCTGAAGACTTGCAAAATGCAATACACGATTACAAAACTGAAAATATAGGTATAAACAAGTGTGCAAGGTTTCATAAAGTTCCTAAAGCTACATTAAAGCGTCATTTAGACAAAGGCGATACTAAAGAAAATGTAGCAATAAACAAAGGCAGACCAGCTGTTTTCGATACAGATATTGAAGACCTTCTAGTTAATCATATACTGACTTTGGAACAACATATGTTTGGCTTGACGATCACCGATGTCAGAAAGCTAGCTTATCAAATTGCGGAGAAAGTCGGTATTTCGCACAATTTCAACCACGCGAAAGAAATGGCAGGTAAAGCTTGGTACTATGCGTTTATGAAACGTCATAAGAATAAAATTAGTCTTCGGCAACCTGAAGCTACATCTCTAAATAGAGTGAAAGGGTTTAACCGAGAAAATATCGCCAACTTTTTTGACATCTATGAACAAATCCTTGACAGTAATCGGCTCAATGCGAATAAAATATTCAATGTCGATGAGAGTGGATTCCAAACAGTACAAAAGAAACCTCAAAAAGTAATAGGAGGAAAAGGAAAGAGACAAGTCGGTGCTTTGACTAGTGGTGAAAGAGGCGTAAATACCACCTTAGTTGCTTGTGCTAGCGTGTCCGGCCAAGTTATTCCACCAATGATAATTTTTAAGCGAATGCGAATGAACGAACAGTTAAAAGAAGGAGCTCCAGTTGGAAGCTTGGTGACTGTTTCGGAATCTGGTTACATCAACCGTGAACTCTTTTATCAGTGGCTGCAACATTTCATTTCTGTGGTAAAACCAACAAAAGAAGACAAGGTCTTGTTATTACTGGATGGTCATACGACGCACAGCAAAAATTTAGAAGCTCTGTCATTAGCACGAGATAAAGGTGTGATTTTGCTGCAACTGCCAGGACACACAACCCACAGACTCCAACCTCTTGACGTGTCTTTTTTCAAGCCAATGAGCACTTATTATACACAGGCTATAGAATCATGGATGCGCACATATCCTGGCAAGGCTGTAACGCAGTACCAAGTGAGCCGGCTAATCAATCAGGCATATGAGCGCGCAGCTACCGTTGGAAACATAGTTAGTGGTTTCAAAGCAACAGGTATATGGCCTGTAAATAGAAACGTTTTCCAAGATCATCATTTTGCTGCTGCTGACGCTTTGCTTGCTGTTGGTGCTGAAGAACATGTACCGGTTTTGTCACCAAGAACGCCTCCCAATACGCAAATGCATGCCTGTGAGCCATCCACTTCACATGCCGCCGGAACATTCCAGTTTGCCGAAACGTCAGTGGTCGGTGGATCATCATGTAGCGTTCAGACATCACCACAGGTCTCAAAAATGCCACAGGCCGCAGCAACGTCGTCTCAGGATGCTGATACATCACAGACCTATGAAATATCCCAGGTTGATGGAACAATGAAAGCGGAAATATCGACGTCACAAACAGATAAGCAACTGAAATTACGTAAAGTAAGAGGATGTCTCAATACTTTATCCCCTTTATTCAAGACCGTTAAGCCTGCTAGAGGCAGAGGTGCACAAAAAGCAAAGGAATTAACATCAAGCCCATATAAAAATGACTTAGAGAAATCCCAACAGAAGTGCAAGAAACCGAAATCGGTTAGTTTGAGTAAGAATATTAAATTATTGTCAACCGTACAATCAGGGGAAGGTGCAAAAGATTCGCAAGCAAATACAGATAACGTGAATAACAGGATGAAAATAAATAAACAGACTAAACAAACAGAGAACAATTCTACTAAAAAGAGACGTGCAATCAAAAAAAGGAAACTGCAAGAAAGTGCAGAGTCGAGTGATGAATCTTTAGATGAAGAAGCCCTAGTTTTGGATGATTCAGATAGTTGTGCTTCTGATAACTCTGATAACGAGTGTGCTAAATGTAAATTAAATTACTGGGATAAAAAGGGGCCAAAAGTTGACTGGGTAAAGTGCGTGCGATGCTGTAAGTGGAATCATGAAACCTGTATTACCAATCCCGACATTTGTGACGATTGTTTGTCTTAGTCTAAATCCTAAAAATTTATATAAAAAGTGTGACTTCTATTGCCTATTCAATTTAAGTTATGTTATGTTATTTTAGAAAAAAATGTTTAAGTTTTGTTACTTGATACTAGATTTACTCTCCGGTACAATTTAGCAACCCGGTGGTCCAATTAACCGTACCGGTTGGGTAAATTGGAACGAAGTTCTGTTCTAATATAACGTTGATTTTTCGGAAATGTGTAACTCCTAGGTTAATTATGATTTTATAAATGTAAAGCCAAATAAATAGAGTTTCATTTAATGTGAAAATTATTTTAGGAATAACTAATAATATACCTGAAAACCGCTCTTAAAGAAAAGTGGTCCAAATAAACCGACTTTCCCCTATGTGATGTGTGAAACTTTCAATGCAATATCAAATTATTGTGATATACATGCTGACAGTTTGAACAGCATTCTGGGAGTAGCTAGAAATTGCTTGGATAATTTATGATATGTTACTCCACTGAGTGAAATATGTGTTTTTGCTTCTTTTTCTTGTTTGTTCTTTAGATGAAATCACCTGCTTTTTATGTGTTGTCTGTTCTTGTTATTTTGATTTATCTTAGGATTGTCCTGTAAATGGTTTCCTTAACTGTTGGGCAATAAAGGCTATTTATTTATTTAATTATCAAGGAAGATTAACGGTATTGATAAAAATATTGTCAATTTACGGGAAGACCAGAAAGATATGAGTGCGAAAATAGATGAGTTGGAACAGATTTCTAAACTAAATCAACTTAGAGTTTATGGCATTCCTGAATGTAGTTCTGGTTTATTGGAACGTAAGTTGCACGACATTTTTAAAGATAATCCGGGAATACAAACGAACATTGAAATTTCTCGTTCTTATCGTGCTGGGACGGCAAGAAGTTCGAAATGTCGAGCTGTTATATACTAAGTGACATATAAATCCGAACACCCTGTTTAAATGGTCTTATTTTAATAAAAGTTGGTGAATGTATTTATCTTACTGTAAATAACAAGTGAAAAAATTTTCAGCCTTATCAGTTGGACATTCCGGTTTTTATACTGCTTTTTTTTAATTCACTAACGCTCTAAAAATGAATATTTCAGCCGCAGTAAAGAATCAACGTTGGCGGATTTTGGTTCTTGACATCCTTTACGATCGGTTACGATGCCTAGAGTACGGAGATCTGTACGATTTCGTCAACTTAGTCAGTTTGATAGGGGCCGTATAGTGGGACTTCGGGAAGTTGGACTTTCTTTTCGGGCAATTGCAGTTAGAGTACAAAGAAGTGTAGACACTGTGGTTAGGTGTTGTCAGGCATGGCTTCGAGAAGGCCGTATGCAAAGAGCAAGGGGAACTGGACGCCGCCGTAGAACAACAGACTGTGAAGATCGCCGCCTAAGATTATTGGCCTTAAAAGACCGTTTCTCCACTACCAGGTCCATTGCAAATGAATGATTTGCAGAACACGGAAGACCTATTGGCATGCGAAGTGTTTACCGATGAATGAGAAGTTTTGGCTTGTTTTCATACCGGCCACACTGGGTCCTCCCTTTAACTCGAGAACACCGACGTAATCGCCTTGAGTGGTGCAGACAACGGTCACTCTGGGATCAGGAATGGAACAGTATTGTCTTTAGTGACGAGTCTCGATTTTGTTTAGGCATGCACGATGGTCGTGTCAGGGTTAGAAGGCGACGTGTTGAAAGGAGGAATCCACAGTTTTTTGTTGAAAGACATGTTCATCAAACTGTTGGAGCTATGGTTTGGGGTGCTATAGCTTATGGTTCCAGGTCACCTTTAATCTTCATCAACATGAACGCGCAGTGTTATATCCACGAAGTTCTAGAACCCCATCTTTTACCCTATCTTGACACCCTGGCAGATCCAACTTTCCAACAAGATAATGCCCGACCACATGTTGCAAGAGTCACAATAGGCTTCTTTCAACATAATGATGTCACATTGTTACCATGGCCACCAAGATCACCAGACTTATCCCCAATTGAGCACTTCGAGAGGAGTTGGTGGTTGCCTGGAATGAGATACCACAGGTGGACATTGACCACCTGATCAGAAGCATGCCTAGGCGCGTTGGAGAATGCGTAGCACATCAGGGTGCATCCACACATTATTAAAGGTCAAAGGGCTTTGAAGCAGTGCAATCATTTTGAAATTTTTATCATTTACTTATTATGCTTCATTAAGTACTTATACAAAATTTTATTAAAATAAAACCATTTAAACTGGCTGTTCGGATTTATATGTCATTTAGTATAGTTGCCTTTGATAGCTCCTTACATCGAAGCTTAGTATATTTTAGCAAGAAAAAACTTAAAGGCACAAAAATGATTACCACTGAAGAACTAGTGAAGAATAGGTACCAACTGTTCCAGTATACACGTCATCTGTTTTTAACAGGTCCTTCTCATATAATGCATGCATACTGCTCAATAGCTTAGATTACAGAACAAAAAGCCTGCCGCTGTATAGTTTTAAAAAGCACTTAAGAGCTCTTCTGCTCAATGGTGATTCTTAAAGGTGGTTTTCTCCAGCATTATATTTTTAAGCTAATTTTGATTTAGTTTGTAGTCAGTTACATGGGCATTTTCCTCCATTTATTTTCATTATTATTTTCTTTACAGCTGTACTTTTTCAACATTTATATTCTTATGCAGTTAATGGTTAAGTGTAAGAATAGCTGCCATAGCTAAACTACGCCATTAGCTGCTCACTAATCTAATTATAGATAATAGTATATGAATTATCTGTAATTTGTTTTTTTTATAATAAAAGACGGTTTATTATTATTATTATTATTATAAGTTGTCAAGCAAAATGGTAATGGACAATTGATGGGAAAATCTTCACTCAAGTGGACGGGAAAAAAGTTATGATAAAAAATGAAGATGATGTATTGAAGATTGCTAATTAGTTCCTGGACCTGCTAACCATTTTCGCAATAAAAAATTACTTTTGTTATTCTTATTTCAGTAAAACCTTATTCTAAATTTAATTTTTTATTTTCAAACCGAATGAAAAAGCTTTCAGTCGCTTTTTTGAATGTAAGATCTCTTGTGCGTCATATCTCAGATCTCAAAAATCTTATACAACAACATGATTTCGGAAACTTGGCTTCATTCAGGTATATAAAACAATTTAGTATCCATAGAAAATTACTGTTTTATTCGTCAAGATAGAAATGGTAGAGAAGGAGGGATTGGTATGTATATTAATAATAATTTGAAGTTTTCAGTTGTCTCTTCCTATTCAAGTTTAATTTCTGAGGAGATTTGGATTTCATTGAAATTGCATCTAGTAAGCTATGCTGTTGGATGTATTTGCAGACCACCTAAAACTAAAATCGTCGACTTCGAGGAGACACTAACACAATTCATATATATGTGAAGACAATTTGTGGTGGTGACTTCAATGTTGATGTTCTTGACCCTTCAAATCGTTATTGTACTATGCTTTATGATTGTAATGAAGGTTTTGATCTGGTACAGGTAATCAAAGAACCTACTAGAGTTACAAAAAACAGCCTAACCTTGCTCGACGTAATTTTTATACCAGCTGATGACACTGATTATACTGTTGGTACAAAAAATACGTCATAGATTTCCGATCATCCGTTAACCGTTTGTATACTAAACGAATCTGTTGCAAATTGTTCTAAAAAATGCCGCTTCAGAAACTTAGGAAATCTAGATAAAGACCTGGAAATTTCTCATTTCGAGCAATTGATCTATTTACCAAAAGTTGAGGAAAAGGTCTTATTTTTGAACGAAGTACTGTTCAATATCTTTGATGTACTAGCTCCTGTAAAGGAAATTCAATTTAAAGTTCGAAAACCCCCATGGTTAGCGTTTTCCATTAAACATGCAATCAGCATTCAATCAGCTTGTTGAATCTGAAGTTTGGTGCATTGAATCGTTCATAACTCAACAATCAGGCATCAAATTGATATAGTTTGTTAAATCAGTATACTTATTGAAAAAAAATCTGAATACGTAATAAAATAAGGAACATTCCCTTGAAAAAGGTCAAAACTTGTCAATTTTTAAGACCTCATTTTTTCCATACCTTTCCATACTTGTATCCCATATTTTATTGCACATTTAGATAGACTTTCAAGAGCAAACTGATATAATATTATTTGTTAAACGACCCAATGTACAAAAGATTCATACTCTAGGGTTATAATCGACTGATATGGAGTTTTAGCTTCTTGCTAAAATATATCATCTATCCATCAATTTGATCATACTCAATTTTAGTTTGCCTACTTGACTCGTTCACAAAAAGGTAAAGGCATTATATACGAGCCACTTTTCACTTCAGTTGGCTCACTTCAAGATTTGTACGAAAATATGCCTTTATAAACTAAACATGATGAAACTATTTACTTCTAAAACAATTTATTTTCTCAAAAACATTTTAGAGACACTCTAGTCGTAAAAAATACATATTTGAAATCACTGAAACCTATAACTAATAGAACATCTGAACAAATAAACAATGCGGAATAAATGCGAGAAGTTAACAAAGCAACAATTGAAAGATTACCTTTGGGTAACATCACCTTTATTTTTTATTACGGCTGAAATTCTTTGGGGCATAGTGTTAACCAAGTTTTGGCAAAAATTTAGTGTAAGACAATCCCATATTTCTTGAAGCTTTTGTCTCAGTTCGGCGATTGTACGAGCAGGATGTAGAACCTTTTTCATCTCGTGCCACAAAGTTTCAATAGGTGACAGATCTGGACCGCTAGAAACCCCTTTCAAAAGTGGTACATTATTTTCTTCCATCCATTTTATAGCCTTTTTTGAGGTATGGCACGCTGCACCATCTTGCTGAAACACAAAATCTTGGCCGGATGTCAAACATTCTTCCATCACTGGTAAAAGCTATTCTTCTAAAATTGCCAAATATTTGTTTGTATTCACATTTCCATCAATAAAGTGAAGTTTTCCTACCCCTTTTGATGACATACTGCCCCAGACCATAATGGATTCTGGAAATTTCACTTTTCTCTTCAGACAGTCAACATGGAATGCTTCATTTTTTTGCGAATAACTCTACTGCGACTGTCATCAACACAAACTTCGAATCGGGCCTCATCACTCCATTGCATTGCACACCATTGTTGAGGTGTCCATTGTCTATGTTCTTTAGCCCATCTAAGCCGATTTTTCTTTTGCAGTGGAGTTAATAGTGGCTTTTCTTTGGCCTATAAACAAGTTGTGCAACTTTAGGGTTTTTACTTCACTTTTTTTTATAAGAAAACTTACCTTGCAAGTGCTAAATCCCAGTTTGTGGGCCTCTTTATGAGTTGTAGACCTCGAAATTCTCCTTCCAACAGCGTCACTCCACAGAGCACTTAATTGTAAATAATTGGAACGCCTGTTTTTCACGATTATTCTTCTTAATGCTCTTCGGTCAGCATTTGTGATATTACTTTATTTCACATATCGTGGCTTAATATTAACTGACGCAGTCACGTTATATCTTCTAACAATATTTCTCACACTGTACCGCGATAAGTCTAACAAAGTTGCAATTTCTGAGTTTGATTTCCCAGAATTAAAAAATTTAATTATCAGTAACCGAATTTTCTCACTAATAACCTTTCCTCTACCCATTTTGAAAACCTTAACTACCCAAAACTATTTTAAACATATTCTCACAGCTGTGATTAATAAAAGCAATTGTCATGGCTTTTATTTTTCACAGCCACCTATGCGTTATAGACTTATTTTGCATTGAAATGAGAATAGGTTGATATGCTGTAATTGCAACATGTGTTATTTTTATGCTGCAAATTTGATTAGGGAGTGATAAAGTTCGTGTTTTTTACTAGATATTATCAAAATATTCATTATTAATATTTTAAACCTATAATATTAACACCCTGCTACATTTTTATTATTTGTGTTTGATAAGAAAAAAACTAAGATTTCAATAGTTGGGCCAACTGAAGTGGGAAGGGGCTCGTATTACGACAGCCTTTAAAAAGATGGATTTTCAATCAGCTTTAGGACGCTTAGACAATTATCATACTTTTGTTGTGGCCAATCTTGTTTATTTTTTAGTTATATGCTGTTATTTTGTCAAAACTTGATAAAACTACATAAATATTGCGATTTAGTTTTCATAGAAATCACAGAGTGACATCAAAAATAAGGACATTGGGCGTAATTTCCTTGAACTAGTTTAATAAGACATTCTGGAAAACTTTTCCTGGCTGTTCTAACAAATTGCGTCGTTAAAAGCGGTAAAGTACCTTGTGAACTGAAGAAGTTTACGCTTTTATGGTATCAGGAAACAGTTATTTTGAGGTTTATGTTTTATAGCCACCTTTCCCTAAAGCACGGTGGGATGGAGTCTTGGATGTGAGAAAGCAAGCAGCAGAATGTGTGCAGAAATCAGATAGCATGGTACCTAAGAGCGAGGACTGTTTGTTTATAAAAATATTCACTTCGAGTGTAAGTATACAAATATTATACTAAGGATTTATACTAATGTGGTTCAGCTGAGTGAAAAAAGAAGTGTTAAACATCGTACAATGCTCTTCAAGATGAAATCCGTTAGTCAATGCAAAGCGTCTTTGCTACCGTAGCAGCCCTAGTCAAAACGTCTTTGCAGTTTAAACGTTAAGCTTTTCTAAACTTCCTTCTCTTGTAAATATCTACCTCCTTTTGTGCCTATATGTAACATATTTTTATCTTGGATAATTCTGAAGAACGTTTTGTATTTGATATTCCTTAACCTCTACACAATAAAACTGCACTTGCTTTTGTCAGTCCGCCTGTCCGTTTATTGGCATCGTTTGATCGCGTTACCTCAGCAACAGCTGCACCGATTTTTAAGGAGAGGGATATGATGTAGGGTGGAGAGAACCGTGAGCGCCTGTAAGAATCGACAAGAGAAAACTTTTTGTGAAAGTCTACCTGCCCTCACATCCTTTGGAGAGCGGGGGAAGGAAAACTTCCTGGTGTCTGTACACAAAATCATGCTAAACATGCAAATTTCAAGCTCCAACGATTCTTAGGGGCATCCCCTGCGGGTGCCCATGAGGGTAACCCTACTTCATTTTTGAGTCTCGTTTGAGTAGCGCCGAAGTTACGACCAAAAAAAAAATAGGTGCGAAATCGTTTCTAAGCTTCGTTTCTGTCAGATTTCGGGCGTAATCCAAAATTTATTTTGATAGGGTAATTTCTTAAATGAAGCTTGCTTCTAGCTTCCCAAGAAGAGTAAAAATCTACCAGTGATGGTATGGATATACGGTGGAGCATTTTTCGCTGGGGCATCTGATTTCAACTTACACGCTCCCGACTACCTTTTGGACGAAGACGTAATCATTGCATCGTTCCATTACAGGACCGGAATATTTGGATTTCTGTCCACAGGAGACCAGGTTGCACCAGGGAATGCGGGTCTTAAGGATCAGGTAATGATTTGTCTATACAGAGTGGTTCAAAAAGTACTGCTATTATTTGAAGGGTGAGAAGTAAAGTGAAAAATAACGTGACGTGTACGTACTATGAATTAGCCTGGTTAGATACAGTCTGTTGAACGTTTCTACGCCAATGCTTGAGAATAGATTTGTGGCGTCAAACTTAACTACTTACAGATTGATTCAGAGTTTAAGAAAAGAGCACATTTCTTATGGCAAATAGCTCCTGTACAAATTCGCTGAGATTTTATGGTGTTCTGCATACCATGATCAAAAGTCTCAATGGAAATTTTGGTATCAACGACTTCCAAGCATTATAAATAACACAAACAAGATCACCGCGCGAAGGACGCGATTATAATTGGCTGATTTTTTTAGTCCTTGATTTAAAACCAATGTATATGTATATATATATATATATTCAGGGCGACTTCGAAGTTGAGTCATTTATTTTAACAGTGAGTAGATCTGATCAAAAGAAATGTTTTTTTCCTTTACCATTTTTCTGGTAAAATTAAAGTAACAAAGTTATAGCCCTTTGGAAGTTTGAGTACCGCCCTGTCTCAATAATAATATTATGTGCTCGTGTTTGGCAACAACGGATATAATCCGCCTTATCGGTTCATCGCATCGGAAACAAAAAAGCGAAAGAATTTGGAACGATGTTTTTACAATTATTTTATTCAGTTGTATACAGTCAGTGTCAGTTGGTAACGCGTGAGTGAATAGTGGTGTCTGTTGCGTGGCTCAAACGAAATCAAAAATGGCACATGTTTATGCGGATCGGTTTCCCAATCGAGTGCAACCAACCCCTCGTGCCTTTGTTAATGTAGTACAACCGGCTCGTGAATCAGGTGACTTAAGACCTCACAGGAGAGGGCATGCCGGTGCTCCAAGACCTCACGATCAAATACAGGTCCGCACTGAAATACTTGTTGGGAGGATACTTTATAAAACAAGGTAAATTTTTTTTTTAATTTTTTTTTTATTTTTACACACATATTTTGGTTTATCTTCTTTCTACAATCATTATCTGAAAATTAATGACTCAACTTCAAAGTCACCCTGTATAGAGTGAGAGAGAGAGAGAGAGAGAGAAAATGATCATGCGGGAGAAAAGCTATTTAACAAAAAAGTAGGAAAAAAAATGGGCAAAATCCGCAAAAAACACGAAAGTGGATTTGAGCAGAAAATAGGATAGGTAACCCGAGCGATACGTATTTCGGCTGGTTGGCTTCATCAGGCCCGAAATGAATGCACATATGAAACTACAAATGTAGATACACATGCCCGTTGTAGTTGTATCTGCAGGCGCCAATATGTTTTATAACGAAGATCGACGTGGGTAAGCACAACTCACACGTCCATGACACGCAGGTCGCCATACTGACAGTTACAAACATAAATGTGGAAAACTGGTATGCTGAAGAGAACATTTTCATAGCGGTGACACAAAACTAAAAAGTGTGTCTTTGAGTTTACATAAACAAACGTCCACACGTAGAAGCCGATTGAACATGTATGTGTGAGAGAGATGGGTATATGGAAGTAAGTGTAAATCTACTGTGATCCGCGAAAAGACTTATAGAGGGTTTGTCCGGAAAGTAATAGGACTCAGTTTCTTCCGCCATGACTGTACTTCGCAGCGTGCGCGCATTGACTGGATTCGGTAGAGGGCTAACGAATGAGCGGCTGGTCAGTTGTCTCCGAGCACTTGGAGAGTCAGGACAGGCATTTTCGCGCGACGTGTTTCTATGAGTGGTGCATGCCGAAAATGCAGCGTTCGTTAGAGAGCTTTGCGATTGAATTCTGTGTGAAACTCGGTAAATCTGCGACAGAGACGTTTGATATGATCAAGCAGGCTTACCCAGGAGATGCTTTAGCAAGGAGTGCTGTGTTTCGGTGGCACCAGGCCCTTTTAGAGGGCCGGGAAGAGGTCGCTGATGAAGACCGTGCTGGAAGACCTTCGACTTCGACAACCACCGATAATGTGACTCGTGTGCGCAAAATTTTGAACTCGACCGTCGGCTAAGTATTCGTTTAATTGCTCAGATGTTAAATTTACCAGAATCTGTGGTTCATGACATTGTGACACAGCATTTGAACATGCGCAAGGTGTGCGCGAAGATGGTCCCAAAAGTGCTCACTGACGACCAGAAATTGCGGCGAGTGGAAGTGTGCCAAGAAAATTTGAACATGTGTGAAAGTGACCCCCAATTTTTGAATAACGTAATCACAGGTGACGAGTCGTGGATCTTTGAGTATGATCCCGAGACAAAGAGGCAATCTTCCGAGTGGCACACGACGGCGTCTCCTCGCCCAAAAAAGGGAAGAATGAGCAAATCCAAAGTGAAAACGATGCTCATTTTTTTTTTTGACATCAAAGGCATCGTCCACCATGAATGTGTTCCTCCTGGACAAACCGTCAGCGCCAAGTTTTACACGGAAGTGCTCAGGAGACTCAAACGAAGGGTTAGTCGGGTCCGACAAGACATCGCAGCTGGCTGGAAGTTGCACCACGACAACGCTTCGACTCACACCGCCTTTCTTGTGAACAGCAACGCTTCCGCAGCCGCCCTACAGCCCAGATGTGCCCCTCGGACTTTTTTTTGTTTCCTCGCCTGAAAAGACCGATGAAAGGCAAGCATTTTGAGACGACAGAGGGGATCCAAGCAGCATGCACCGCGGCTCTCAAGGCTATTCCGGATAATGCCTTCCGTGACGCCTTCAATGCTTGGAAATCGCGCTGGCAGCGCTGCATCGACGCAGAAGAAGCCTATTTTGAAACTTTTTAAAGAATTGTAACTATTGGCTCAATAAAGTTTTTTTTAAATCGACTCAGTCCTATTACTTTCCGGACAAACCCTGTACTATGAATGTTTATCGACTTGCAGAGTACGTACGTAGCAAGTTCAATGAAATTACTGATTTCGCCATAAATGTCAACAAGGACGGCAAATTCTCTTAAAAATTCAGTAGCTTACAGAAATGTTCATTTTCCTTCTGTATAGAAGTCAAAACTTACCAAGTGGATAGGTAGCTTTATCCGCCCCGTAAATATAATTTTTTACTACTTTTGGATGTAGTTTCTGTCCTAAAAATATAACCACGTTTCCTGAGATGCGTTATTGAACAGACGTTTTGCATACCACTAAAATTTATGAACCATACAAGTCCGCTTGCTTGGAAAGAACAGTATTTACGTCAGAAAGATCTATTCATCAAGTTTTTTCATCTCTGATGAACTTGTATTTGACATTCACGAGTTTTTATCCACAATTGCGCGGGACATCCCCAGAGGGCTATAGGGACTGTCATCATCCATCAAAACAGAGGATTTACATATTTCTTTCGGTATATATTACTAAATTGAAATATTATTTTCAGCTCCTGGCATTGAAATGGATAAAAGATAACATAAACAATTTCGGAGGCGATCCAGAAAGAATAACAATCTTTGGTCAAAGCGCTGGAGCTGCATCCGTTGGGTATCTCTTGCAGGTAAGTCCGCAAAAAATGTCTTATACAGGTTTTTTTTTATACTCCAACTACCACGAAGGCCTAAGCACCCATTGGGTACCGTGGGGCTATAGGGAGATACATGGGAAAAGGGGGGACGCCCCACGGACTCTGGCGAGGAGACACGTGTGCATGCAACATGCACACATTCTGGCTCCGCCTACGAGAACCGCCGGGTGGTACCTCCGCGTTCGACAGTCGGAGACCATGTACCACCTACGGACAATCGCAACATCCATAGCCAAGAGAAAAATTTCTCCTGGGATGGGACTCGAACCCGCACAGCGCACGGCGACTGATCAGGAGACCGAAGAGTCTACTACTGCGGCCACCGCTGCTGCCTAAAAGAAACACACAACATCCATGGCGAAGGCGAGATTCGAACTCGCGGCCCGGCCGGCCGGCTGATCAGTAGCACGACACTCTGACCCACGCGGCCAACCGAGGTCCCCCGGGTGACTTCGAAGTTGAGTCATTTATTTTAACAGTGAGTAGATCTGATCAAAAGAAATGTTTTTTCTTTTAACATTTTTGTGGTAAAATTAAAGTAACAAAGTTATAGCCCTTTAGAAGTTTGAGTACCGCCCTGTCTCAATAATACTATTATGTGCTCGTGTTTGGCAACAACGGATATAATCCGCCTTATCGGTTCATCGCATCGGAAACAAAAAAGCGAAAGAATTTGAAACGATGTTTTTACTACAATTTTATTCAGTTGTATTCAGTCAATGTGTCAGTCGGTAACGCGTGAGTGAATAGTGGTGTTTGTTGCGTGGCTCAAACGAAATAAAAAATGGCACATGTTTACGAAAATGCTGAACTTGTGGACATGATTCTTATTTACGGGGGGGGAATCTTTACAAAATGCTGCCGCGGCATCACGGATTTATGCGGATCGGTTTTCCAATCGAGTGCAACCAACCCCTCGTGCCTTTGTTAATGTAGTACAAAGGGCTCGTGAATCAGGTGATTTAAGACCTCACAGGGGAGGGCATGCCGGTGTTCCAAGACCGCACGATCAAATACAGGTCCGCACTGAAATACTTGTACTTGTACTTTATAAAACAAGGTAACATTTTTTTAATTTTTTTTTAATTTTTACACACATATTTTGGTTTATCTTCCTTCTACAACAATCATTATCTGAAAATTAATGACTCAACTTCAAAGTCACCCTGTATAGATCTATGCGTTAGTTGTAGTAACTTTGTTTGAGAATTTCATCAAAATCCAAGCGGTACTTCTCAGGTTACAGGCGGTCCAAGGATTGGCGGACATACAGACCGATGGTTTTTCGTGATGCATATGTCATATATGGTAACATAAGAAAGTGAAAGTACGTCGAAATTTATGAGGATACCATCTCCTCACAATTGTTCAAAAATTAGTCTCAAGTCGCAAGATGCTTTACATTTTTGGTTACTGTTCTGTACAGAAACTTAAGTTTAATATAATATAATTAAACTCATTTTTTTTCTTTAGCATGTGCTGACTTTAAGTCACATATATACAGTAATGGACAGAAGTATATAGACAAATATGAATATTTACCTGAATACCTTTAGAAAACGAATTCATACTTCATTGCTCCATAAACAAATGCGTTGTTAGTAGAAAAACTAAATTCCTTGTTTCTACATTATCTGCAATGAACAGAATACAAGTCTGAATATAAGCACTTTTTTATGAGGGACAAAAATATGTAGACAAATTACTTTTAACATTAGTTGTACAGTTTCGTGTCAGAAGAGGATTGGTTTGTGTTCATCAAGTATTGTGGAATAAGCTGAGTGATTTTAAGACCATGCCGCGTGGTCCAGAAATTTCTTTCGATGTGAAAACTAAGATCATTGAGTTATACAAAGATAGTAAACGTCAAGTCGACATTACCAAAAATTTGAAGCTGAAGCGAAAAGCAGTTTGGGCAATATTGAACAAATATAAACAAAAAGGTATCTTGGAAGCCTCTAAGAGAAGTGGTCGGCCTAGAAAACTAAATGCTAGATCAGTTAGGTTAATAAAAGTAACTTCGTCCAAATATCCGTTTAAAATCCAAGACAAATAAAAGCCGAAAGGAATTGCCGGTGTTTCTACGAAAACTGTAAGTAGAAGATTAAATGATTTGAAGTTATTTACACGTCGCCCGAGTAAGAAGCCGCTAATCTTGAGGAAAAACCGTAAGGACCGAATACAATTTGCACGGTTGCATCTTGATCGGAGCATCTGTGACTGGAAGAGGGTATGAACCCAAGTTCAATATGTTTGGATCAGATGGTGTTCATTACATTAGACGTCCAAGTGGACAAAGATTGAGCCCCAAGTACACTTTGCCCACTGTCAAACATAGAGGCGGGTCTGTTATGGTTTGGGGGTGCTTTTCGGGGTTTGGGATGGGACCTTTACATAGAATAGATGGCATTATGGATAAGTTTGTATACACAGACATACTAAAGCATGTCATGTTACCCTATGTGGAAGACAATATGCCCTTAAGATCAATCTTCCAGCAAGATAATGACCCGAAGCACACTTCAAATCTCGCAAAGAAATTCTTTCTGGATGAAAGAATACCAGTTCTCAAATGCCCTTCACAGTCTCCCAATATAAACCCCATTGAAAATCTATGGGAATACTTAGATAAGCAAATACGAGATAAAAATTATTCAAACAACGATGAACTTTTTGCCGCTTTAGAGCAAAAGTGGAGACAGATTGATGAATCTTATATCAAGAAACTTCTACAATCTATGCCGAGACGATGGCATGCGGTGATTGATAATAATGGTTATGCTACAAAATATTAATACAAACATGGTTGGTTTTCTATAATTCAGTGAACTTTGCTTCTTTTTTCTATAACTGTTTTGCTTTGTCTATATATTTTTGTCCTTCATAGTTCCAGTTTTTTTCAATTAGTTTTTTATTGAAGGGAGTCTAATGAATTTATTTATGTTGTATAAGTAGTAGTAGTAGTAGTAGTAGTATACGAGTAAGTATTATGCTATAACGAATTATGTATACAGGTTGGTGTATTAATAAAACAAGTTAAAAAAGAAATACAGCACAATATTAATTTGTCTATATACTTTTGTCCATTACTGTATATTTTTTCATCTGTCTTACAGAACGAGCAAGCTAAAGGTCTGTTCAGCAGGGCCATACTGCAGTCAGGATCTCCACTATGTCAATGGGCCCTGAGTAGGGTTGCGAAACAGACAACGACAGATGTAGCGAAAAAGTTGAAGGTTGGTAGGGATAGTTCTGCCAGAATGGTGAAAGAAATGAAGACCCTGCCGGCAAACGAATTGCAGGAGAAATGGTCTTCTGAGCTGATTTGGGTGAGTACTAGGTAATAGTGTTCCGGGTATTTAAAATTCGGCACTCACCAATTGACTAAGTGATGCAAAGTCGGATAAATGGGAACAAATTGGAGCATTTCAATAACTAAGAAAATTAAAAAAAGTATTGCGGTAATTTTCTCAAAATTGTTTTTATGTTTCGATGACTTCATTCGCTGTTTATAGATTCCATGATAAAACCCGAACTTGAAACGCTCGGTATATGGATATAAAATAATCATAACTCATTTTCATCGGTTTCGAATATAGCTGAACAGTTTTTGTACATTTGTTTCGGGAATGTGTGTTTTAGAAAATAGTGACAAAACTACCACTAAGAGGTTTGCCATTGGGTCCAGTCATAGAGCCAAAACACTCTGGAGCTGTGATAACGGATAACAGCTATGACCTGTTGAAGAAAGGAAAGTTTCACCATGTGCCTATATTAATGGGCCATACCACTTTGGAGATATCTGCAGATGCCGAACAAATTCCAGGTAGATCATAAAAATTGCTCATTAGGTCAAAACGGACTAAATGAAAGATTCTCGGCTTAACATTGAAGGACTGCGTGTGAAAATGATTTAATTTTTATCCATTCCTCCTCAGCTCCAATACACTTGGTTCAACTTTTCTCCAATATTAGGTTTCCTTATCTGAAGTTGGTGCCTGGTGGCTGTCAGAATATTGATCTACGGTCCCCTCAATTTCTTCATCGGACCCACAGCGAGTCTTAGAATGAAATTTCACCAAATCTGGGAATATATAGAAGTCTTTGGATGACAAGTGGAAGATTGATCGAGCGCAAATAGTGCACCAACTCCAGCAGATCTCCCATTATTAACACACCTCTGAACAGGTGCGCTGTTCTGATGAAGAATGGTCCTTTTCTTTTCCACGTCAGGCTTCTTCTCACAATTTTGGTATACATTTGATCAAGGAGGTTAATATAGTATTTGCTCGTGATTATTCTACCCTTTTCAAAGTAAGTAGGTAGTCAATTAACAGAATCCGTTTCGCCATGACCTCTCGGACACATTCAATCAACTTGCTGAACCACCGACTTTCACTCACTGCTTCGACTACTATTTTATTTCGGGAGTTTAGTGATGAACCCGCCTCTTATCCATGTTAAGCAAATGCGACAGTCACCTTATGCAGAACCTTATTGTTCCCATTTCGTTGTGCAAGTTGTTTCGTACCCTTTCTTTCGATATCCCCACCGCCTCAGCTATCTTACCTTGCATGGCATATCCGACACGAAAACGTGCTCCGTTCGATAGTTTCAAGGTATATATTGGCCTTCCTTCATGTGGGCCGTACGATCACGTTAACGGTTAACCTTTTTTATGCTCGAACCTCCACGGAGGGCTAAATATGGGTACCGTGGGACTATAGGGGGATACAGGGGAAAGGAGGACGCCGCACGGCCTCTAGTGAGAGATCACGTGTGCATGCAACACGGATACTTGTTGGTCTTAGAGATCCACCGGGTGGTACCTCCACGTTCGAGACCGTCTACCACCTACGAACAATCACATCCATAGCCAAGGGAAAAAATCCCTTGCGACGGGATGCAAACCCTCGCAGCGCACTGCGACTGCAGATAGTTAGACAGATAGTAGACCCCAGCTTTTCATATATAACGCAGCCAAACTATACAATTGTCTCCCAAATTATTTTTATGACTTCTCTTTATTGAACTTTAATAAAAAGCTAACGAATTTGTATCTGTCTAAAATGTCAAGGATCCTATATGCCGACCCTGTTTAGGCCCACTACTTTTCTACTTGTATTCCTTCATTCTTGTTCTACTAATTGTTGAAACAAAATATTTTTTCGTTACCTTCAAAAATATAGATTTGGTGATAGCTGCACCAGCAACCGAAGACTTTTAATTCTACGTTTCATTGAGCAAGTTATCGTAGTTAAATGGATGAGCTGAAACTCACTACATATTTTTTTTATTGTTAGTTCCTTTCTCTTAGGCACTAGGTACACCTTGCAGAATAGTTATTATGACTATCATTGATACTTATGTTTATCTTTATTATTGGGTTTTCCCTTAGATATACTAAGTGACATATAAATCCGAACACCCAGTTTAAATGGTTTTATTATAATAAAATTTTGTATAAGTACTTAATGAAGCATAATAAGTAAATGATAAAAATTTCAAAATGATTGCACTGCTTTAAAGCCCTTTGACCTTTAATAATGTGTGGATGCACCCTGATATGCTACGCGTTCTCCAACGCGCCTAGGCATGCTTCTGATCAGGTGGTCAATGTCCTCCTGTGGTATCTCATTCCAGGCAACCACCAACTCCTCTCGAAGTGCTTCTAGAGTCTGAGGAGGACGTTGCAAATTGAGCAATCTCCTACCCATCATATCCCACACGTGTTCAATTGGGGATAAGTCGGGAGATCTTGGTGGCCAGGGTAACAATGTGACATCATTATGTTGAAAGAAGTCTATTGTGACTCTTGCAACATGTGGTCGGGCATTATCTTGTTGGAAAGTTGGATCTGCCAGGGTGTCAAGATAGGGTAAAACATGGGGTTCTAGAACTTCGTGGATATAACGCTGCGCGTTACCTCTGATGAAGAATAAAGGTGACCTGGAACCATAAGCTATAGCACCCCAAACCATAACTCCAACAGTGTGATGAACATGTCTTTCAACAAAAAACTGTGGATTCCTCCTTTCACCACGTCGCCTTCTAACCCTGGCACGACCATCGTGCATGCCTAAACAAAATCGAGACTCGCCACTAAAGACAATACTGTTCCATTCCTGATCCCAGAATGACCGCTGTCTGCACCACTCAAGGCGATTACGTCGGTGTTCTCGAGTTAAAGGGAGGACCCAGTGTGGCCGGTATTAAAACAAGCCAAAACTTCTCATTCGTCGGTAAACACTTCGCATGCCAATAGGTCTTCCGTGTACTGCAAACCACTCATTTGCAATGGACCTGGTAGTGGAGAAACGGTCCCTTAAGGCCAATAATCTTAGGCGGCGATCTTCACGGTCTGTTGTTCTACGGCGGCGTCCAGTGCCATTGCTCTTTGCGTACGGCCTTCTCGAAGCCATGCCTGACAACACCTAACCACAGTGTCTACACTTCTTTGCACTCTAACTGCAATTGCCCGAAAAGAAAGTCCAGCTTCCCGAAGTCCCACTATACGGCCCCTATCAAACTCACTAAGTTGACGAAATCGTACAGGTCTCCGTACTCTAGGCATCGTAACCGATCTTAAATGATGTCAAGAACTAAAATCCGCCAACGTTGATTCTTTACTGCGGCTGAAATATTCATTTTTAGAGCGTTAGTGAATTAAGAAAAAGCAGTATAAAAACTGGAATGTCCAACTGATAAGGATGAAAATTTTTCACTTGTTATTTACAGTAAGATAAATACATTCACCAACTTTTATTAAATAAAACCATTTAAACTGGGTGTTCGGATTTATATGCCACTTAGTATATGTTCATGATATAATGGGTGATTCATTTATAGGTACTTTTTTCAGCAACAAAATAAAATAACAAAATTCTTTTTTCTTGTCAAATCTTTTTTATTAAAGAAAAGAACTATTTTTGACATTTATTTTTTAAATATTATTTCTTTCAAATGTTGGCCCTGACTGCGGTTGAGATGGTCCATTCTAAAGTTCCAATTTTCGATGACATGGAGCATTTCGACTGGAATTTGGCGAATGACCTGCGTAATGTTGGCTTCCAATTCCTCAATCGTATTGGGCTTATCAATGTAGACTTTGGACTTAACGTAGCCCCAAAGGAAAAAGTCTAGAGGTGTGATATCACATGATCTAGGTGGCCAATTCACTGGTGCAAATCGTGAAATTAAGTGTTCGTCCAAATGTTCTCGCAATAAAGCCATGGTTGCACGGGCTGTGTGGCAAGTGGCGCCATCTTGTTGGAACCAAATTCATCGAGATTACGGGCTTCAATATCAGGCAGCAAATAATCCGTTATCATGGCGCGGTAACGAGCACCATTCACAGTTACGTTCTGACCGGCCTCATTTTAAAAAAAATAGAGACCGATGATTCCGCTGACCCATAAACCACACCAAACCTTTGTTTTCGCTGGATGTAATGGCAGCTCTTGAACCACTTCGGGTTGTTCTTCACCCCTAATACGACAATTTTGTTTATTAACGTAGCCGTTAAGCCAAAAATGGGCCTCATCGCTAAACAAAATTTTGCTCGAAAACATCGAATCTCCTTCAAGCCGTGCAAGAGCCCACAGACTGAAACGATGACGCTTTGGAAGTGTCGGCCGGCTTCAAATGTTGAATGAGTTGAATTTTGTATGGTTTAAAATTAAGATTCTTACGTAAAATACGCCAAATTGTTGAATACGACAAGCCTAGCTGTTGAGAACGGTGCCGAATCGATTCTTCACGGTCCTCACGTATACTCTCAGCTACCGCAGCTATATTTTCTTCACTCGTGCTGGATGTGATCTATTTGGTCGGGTATAATCCAATAATTGAGTTTCAAATTTTTCGACCATACGTCGAATTGTGCGTTCGGTGGGCCGATTATGTACACCATAAGTTGCTCTAAGTGCACGAAACACACTTCTCGCAGAACGTTGATTTTCGTAGTACAGCTGAATTATTTGTAGACGCTGTACTGGACTAAGTCTTTCCATGATGAAATGTCGAACAATAATGAAACAAATTAGTTGTCATGACGCATGCGCCATAAGCAATTACAGCCACACCAAAAAAGTACCTCTAAATGAATCACCCGTTAGATACAATTTTTTATTTAAGGTTGAGTTGAAAATAACTCCGCCTTTTCAATTTTGCACTTTTGCGGTTTTCAAGATATTATTCTTTTGTTTTATTTTGTGTATGCAAATTTGAATAAAGGCACATTATTATTATTAAAACGTCTACGACAACGCCACCGCTGCTAGCCTAAGTATACGTAGTATAAGTATAATATCGCCAAATAAATCAAGATATACCCTCGCCCACCCCTAAAATCCCTAATCAACAATTTTTAAGCGACATAAATATTTTTCTGAAAGCCATCAGGAGCCTCTGAAACATAAGAAGGAAATTGGGATGATTTTTATTTTCTCGTTTACGGTCTTAAGTAGGGATGTAACAGGTACCCGGCCTACCCGGCCGGATAGACTGAATAAATGGAAAAAAAAAATATTGAAAAAAATAGACGCCAAAGAGCCTGTAAAAACAACTTAATTCATAATATATTAAACAATATAGGTAATAAATAAAAACTACATTATTTAAAAAAGTTAAATTGTACAAAAAGAAAACAGAAAACGAATTTACAGTACATAATCTAATATTTAAAATTAAGTAAAGGAAGATTATGGTGGAGGTAGGTTAGCATTTCGCCATTTTCTGCAGTTAGCCTACTTCGTTTTTCTTCGAAAATCATTCCAGCTTCTGAAAACAGTGAATATTGTTGAAGCCGGAGCTGATAGAAACATCTGAACAAGATTTGCTAATTTGGGAAAACTATTATGATTAATTTTCCACCAAGAAAGAGGGCATGAAGTACGATCAATAAGTGGCAATTTCAAATAAGAATTGAATTAAGTTTCCACAGTTTCTAAATTTTTGGAAGTTCCTGCAATACTGTCGCGGCTATGTGCAATATTGGAAAATATATTCCAAACAGACTCATTAGGTTTCTTGCGTTTTTCGGGTATCTTAAATAAAGTGCTAAGTGGAACATCATCGTCAGATTCATCAGAACTTAAATCTACTGACGTAACGCAAGCTTTATTGTTTTCAATAGGTGTCATATCCACAGTTAGACTCTGAATATAATGGGTGATTTTGTTGCTAGTATGTTTTTGGCAACACTGTTTTTGACAGATGACGCGTGAATCGTGTCTTGTGTCATTATCAAACTTGTTCAGTTTGGTCTATAATTTAACCTTGAATCGACTTACGAATGAACAACGCTTGCAAATTATTGAATTTTACTATCAAAATTCATGCTCGGTTAAGAGAGTGCATCGAGCACTGCTTCCAATTTATGGGCAATTTGGTCGGCCTACTGAGGGAGCTATTCGGAAGCTTGTGATTAAATTTCGAACCCCGTTTATATTATTTGACATTAAACCACCAACACGCAGACGTAGAGTGAGGACTGAAGAAAATATTGCGGCTGTATCCGCCAGTGTTAGTGATGACCGTGAAATGTCGATACGCCGCCGTTCGCAGCAATTGGGCCTCTGTTACTCCACCACGTAGAAAATTTTGCGACAGGGTTTGGGTGTAAAACCTTATAAGATACAGCTGGTGCAAGAATTGAAGCCACACGACCTCCCACAACGTTTCTAATTTGGTGAATGGGCGCTGGCAAAGTTGGAGGAAGATCCACATTTTTATCGAAAAATTGTGTTCAGCGACGAAGCTCATTTCTGGTTGAATGGGTACGTTAACAAGCAAAATTGCCGCATCTGGAGTAAAGACCAGCCAGAAGCATTGCAAGAGCTACCAATGCGTCCCGAAAAAATCACTGTTTGGTGTGGATTATGGGCCGGTGGCATCATCGGGCCGTACTTCTTCAAAGACGACAATGACCGGAACGTAACTGTGAATGGCGAGCGCTACCGTGCGATGATAACAAACTTTTTTTTGCACAAAATGGAAGAGCTGGACTTGGCTGACATGTGGTTTCAACAAGGCGGTGCCACATGCCACACCGCACATGAAACAATGGCCCTATTGAGAGGCGAGTTCGGTGAACAGTTTATCTCACGTTTGGGGCCCGTCAATTGGCCGCCTAGATCGTGTGATTTAACGCCGTTAAACTATTTCTTGTGGGGCCATGTTAAGGATAATGTCTACAGGGATAAACCAGCAACGATTGACGCATTGGAAGCCAATATTGAAGCATTTATTCGAGAGATACCGGCCGATATGTTGGAGAGAGTGTGCCAAAATTGGACCTTGAGCATGGGCCATCTAAAGCGGAGCCGCGGCCAACATTTACATGAAATAATCTTTAAACATTAAATTATATCGACCGTTCTATCGACTCAAATAAGGATTTAATCGTTTTTTCAAATTTTTTGTGTTTTTTTTTTAAAAATCAAATCCTATACCTCTTAAAAAATCACCCGTTATTATAAAATATCAACTGTTGTTTTATGTTTATCAGTGAAAGATGTATCCTTGAACCGGGGATCCAACAAAGTAGCTATTAAAAAATTATTGTTATTCTCAATTTAACAAAAACGTTTAGTCAAATTTTCTAGCAAACTTTGCTGTAAATTTTCTAGTCCAGAAATCTTAATTTCCATTAAAAACCTTCTTAATGACAAAACTGTAGGAATCACTTCTGATATGATACATAATTCTCTGCTAAAATGTTGGGTAGTTTGCTCTAATGGTTGTAAAAGTCGTAAAAGCTTTTCCAACGAATCCAACTGACTTGGTGTCAAAGAGGGAACCGCATCAACTTCCGTAGCAAGCAAGTTAAGCTCGATAAGTCTTTCTACTAGATAATACGTGGAATTCCAACGTGTTTGAACATCTTCAACCATTTTTTTGATAGGTAGGTTGACGTCTTTCTGAATTTCTTCTAATTTTGTTCGAGATGGAGAGGAATGGTTTATATGAGTCACTATTTTTATTGCAATAGATACAATTTCCATAAGGGATGTTTGCTGAGTATGTATAAAACAGGATTCATTATTGACTTCCATATCTTTTGTAGCCTTCTTAATATTAGCACCGCTATCTCGAAGAACCAAGTGAACTCTGCCCACTTCTATGTTATTATTTCTTAACAATTCTAGTAAAGCATTTTTTATATTTTCACCAGTATGACTGCCATCCAGACCACGAATACTTAGCACATAATGTTTTTGTTTCCTAATTTCTGGAAATCCAATGTCCAGTTCAACTTATAAAGCTCTTATTGTTCACATCAGAAGTCCACATGTCTGTTGTGAAAGAAATAAATCTTGCATCTGCTAACATTTCAGCTACTCTACTTTGACACTTTTCGTATATCTCAGGAATGACAGTTTTGCTGAAATATGGCCGACTGGGTATACTATACTTTCGTTCCAGGACAGCAAACAATCTCTTGAATCCTAAAAATTTATTCGCGATAAGTTTAAATGGCAACTTAAAAAGTACAGCAACTCGTTGTGTAACTATATACGTTTAAAATAAAATGACACGGAAAACTAACCATATTGCAAAAAATTGTCAACGAGAAACCTTTTTTTGTTACTTAAAATGTAAGTGCAAATATCATATAAAAATAATTAATAATATTAATAATAATATGTAGCTACTTTCATTTTACCTTTATTCTCCACAAGAGAAAAAGTTTGTTATCAAGAACGATCATTTCTCCTATAGCCTGGTGTATTCTTTTTGCCCTTGAATCGTTTATGTCCCATTGTCTTTCGAAGCTCTCAGTAATTTTAATTTGTCTCAATTCTCCTGAAGATTCTGAACCTGAACATAGCTTACTTTGATCCTTTGATCCTTTAATGTAAGTGGATGCTTATATTTTAAGTGTTTCCACAAAGAAGAGGTACTCGCTTTTTTTCCAAGACCGCGAAGAATTTTTGTGCCACATTATCCACACACTGCTTCTGATTCATCTTCATTATCAATTATAAGATGTTCCCACACTTTGCTCATTTTTAAATTGGCTAATCTCGCTCGATAACTTTCTAGTAACACTTTTAACTTTTACCTTAAACAATATAATAGTAAGCTCGACAGTAAGTAACTGGAGTGAAAAAGTAATAGTCAATAACTCACCCACAGAACAATACACCCGTTCTCGGCGCGGGGATTCACGCGACAACGTCGGGTCTTCCCCCAAAACATCCACGTTGCTCCGTGCATTTGTTCTACGGCAAGCTGGTTTTCGCAGAGTTGCCAACGCTTTAACAAAAAAGATTACATATTCTAATCTTTGGCCGACAGTTTCGCAAAAAAGTGTAAAAAAATTCGTTTTCAATTTGAATGTTTTGAGTTTGAGTAGAGCATGCAAGCAGGAAACAGGTTGAGCCGAGTACCCAGTGAGCCGGATACCCGGCATGAAGCCGGATCCTAAAGAGCCGGGTACCCAGTGAGCCGGATACCCGGCATGAAGCCGGATCCTAAAGAGCCGGGTACCCAGTTTGGCCGGTTCCCGGAAATTACCACCCGTTACATCCCTAGTCTTAAGTTCTATCACCACAACATCCACTGAAGTGGATCCTAGTGAAATAAGTAAGCTGCGCCCCTGCAGTAAGAAAAACATTTTGTGCGGCACTGATTTTTTCCTAATGCGGTATATTCAAGCTGATCCATCTTAACAATGCAAGACGTTCACTTCAAAAATTCGTGCAGACAAACTACTTGAGAGAACAGGTTGGAACAAAGTGCCATCTATTGCCAAAATCGACCACTACGAGTGTACGAGTATAACAGCTATCGGTTACCAAAAGGCACGAAACTGCTGTCCATTGCTGGCTGTCTGTGGTCCTATGAAACTTGTCATGTAAACAAATGCCATGGGCACTTATGCAGGAATTTTAACTTTATTCCGATTGGAGCACCATATCTGTGTCAGGCCGTGAACATTTTACTGTTGATTCTATGTGAAGATAATCAACCTAATGCTATATTCGATGGTAAATAAAATAAAATACCCTAGCGTCATCTATGAAAATTTGTCACAGCTGTTTCTCTATTTACTAAGTACAGTTTCAAAAGCTGAGTGTCTCATAGATGGCGCTGTCTTTATCAGCTTCTACAAGCATATAAATATGTGACTGCTGCACCATCTAAAAGACACCAACATTTCCGGTATCTCATTTCATCTGGGATAATTTTTTTGGGCGCAGGAATATAGCATTAAAATAATATCTTCAGGTAGAATACGTTAACCAATGATTTTACCTTATCCTCGTATTAGAAATTGAATGCAGACTTCAACCGAATTGTAATCATATGCAATTCATTTGTACCTCTTGGTAATAAATGTGATGATCTATTGTTTCGTTTTGTTAAGGGGTACTTAAACTGATTCTCTTGATCTTTGACCTGCAACCATCAAAATTGGTACCAGTGAGTCTGAACATGAAACAACTGATAAAGAGTAGCTTACTTGGACGAAAAATTAAGGATCATTACTTCAACTCCAAATCTACAGTAAAAAATTTAACCGAAGCCATGGAAGTAAGTACGTACGTATAATGTTTACTACACATTAAAAAGGGCAATGAAGCAATTTTATTGTCTTGAAGAGCGGTATTAGACGTGTTTCTAGGAAGCATTTCTTTGAGACGTATCCCAAGATACAAGAGAATGTGCTTCATAAAAGATACAGTTTGCAATAACGTCTCGATGGGGAATGTTCAAGAGAGGATTTTACGTTTGCATTTCACAGTAGATATTAGGCTAGTTCTTTAGCATTTTAAAAAAAAATTAAAACTACCAAAGTTTTTGAGTTTTAAAATTTTTCAGAATCTCTAACACCATTGCGAAACTTTGGATAGTTTTAAAAAATTTTAAAATTCGTGAAGCCTACTCTGAAATTCAAAATTCAAGATCATTCGCTTAACGGCACTCAGTCCTTAATGAACGTTTATATTTATAAATGTAATTGAGAATCCACGGTTACTGGTACAGGGAACTGTGCTACTCCGGGCATTATCTTCGTATCCGATGGGAAAATACTCTGATTCGATTTTTTTGCCTAATCAAAAACTGCTCCTTTTAACGAATTTGCAAGTTACTTGGACTAAATTTGGGTCAGTAATTTTTAATCAATTTTGAGCCTTTAGTTTTTTTAGGAAACCTTAAGCAAAAAATGTGCTATAAAACTTTTTTCTAAAGATGATAGTTTTTGAGATATAAGTGATACACTATTTGAAAAAGTGGGAAATATGCCATTTTCGACTCACAACAAAATGAAAAAATATACATTTTTATGTTGTCAGCGTTTCTAAATATACTCATTATAAAAATTTCATAGCATTTCAGGATGCATTGTTATTGTAAAACTTTGTTTTTCAATTGGTTCAATGGTTCTCCGTCGCGGCTGATGACCGCCCCTACATGTTGCATCTCTCTCACACTCTCGCAGAGCATACACTGAACGCACGCTAGATTAACAGTTGAAAAACAAAGGTTTACAATAATAATACGTCTTGAAATGTTTTGGGATTTTGTTACTGGATGCTTGAAGAATACCTGTTTAGGAACATGGACAACATTAAAATTTTCATTTTTTCATATTGTTTTTCGGGGATGAAAATGTCATATTTCACACTTTTTCAAATATTGTTTCGCTTATATTCCTACAACTATCAACTTTAGAGAAAAGTATAGTTTTTCAAAATCTCCCAAGAAAATCTAAAAGGCCGGAGTGAAAAATTTTTGGAATCGGTATAAAATTGTGTAAAAAATTTTCGACGGAAATTTTTTCCTGGCAACATACAGATTCATTAAAAGCAGCCCTTTTGTATGGAATTATGAAAAAAATCTAATACAAAATATGTTTTTCATCATATTCGAAGATAATGTCCGACTATACCAAGTTATATAATAAATATATATATATATATAACTTGAGACGTGGTCATTGTCGTCTAGACCAGTTACGTGAAAAATTAAAGCTTCCGGCTTTTGTTGGGTACTTCGACAAAATTTAAGCAAAGAGGACTCTTTATTCTTTTTTAATTCTCTCTAGCTTTCAATGGACTTTGCCATCATCATCAGGAGCTGCAATTACAATGATAACAGTAGCAACAAAAGTGTAAAATGAATTTAAATTGACTCAACTTACAGTAGTATGTGAGGATGTTGCTAATTGTTGTTTACATATAGGATGAGGGAAACGTCCAGTAACATGGTGAGAGCTGCATACATGGTACAATGGTACCAGAAACCTATGGCCTCAGGTCGGTTTCTCAATTTTAGGTCATACCATAAACTAGGGATTAAAATCAATTTGGTAAAACAGATGAAAACAAGGGTAATCAGCATCTCAGATAATACTTTCCACACCTCAAATTTACGTAAACTATCAAAACTGTTCATCAATAATGGTTATCCGAAGTGTCTGATTAACAAGATCTTATTTAGTTCAACTTCCAATATTTTGCCGAACTCTGATGATGCAGGTAATAGTCGCACAGCCCCTAATAACGTAACTGATGTAATTCCCAATAATAGCATCAATCCAAACAGTACAAGCACCAACCCGGACTCCAGACCTGGTTTTGCTGTCCTGCCCTATATCATGGAACTGACCCCTAAGCTGATCAGATTGTGCAGTCCTTTGAACTTTCGAATTGCTTGCAAATCCGTCCTCACTATAAACTGCATTTTTTCAAAAATGAAAGACAAAGTCCCGCTGCTTGGCTTAACCAACACAGTCTACTCCATCAATTGCAACAACTGCAACCAAATATACATAGGTCAGACCTCCAGATCTCTTAAAGGAAGAATTACTTCACACAAAAGTGATGCTAGGCTTCATCCTGAAAGATGCGCTCTAGCATCTCATGTTAACACAACAGGACATTCTATGAATTACTCAAGTGTCAAAGTTCTTGATAAAGAAAAACACCTTTCCAAACGTTTATTCCTGAAAATGTCCCACATTTTCATGAATAGCAACTGTATCAACAAAAAAACAGATGTTAAACAACTAAGTGTCATTTACTCATATTTGCTAAACTGCGAAAAATTAGAGAACTTACATATCTCCCCAAATTTCGACTCTTCACAACCATAAATAGAATCTGTGTTTTGGCCGATTCCACCAGTAAATTTCATTCCACTCAAAATCTAATAATTCTCTTCTCACGATTTATTAATAATTATTAATTAAAATTCCCATTAATTAAAATATAGTTTATTCAACTGCCTCTGGTCGGTTTAAGAATTTCTTACACACCATTCTGAAAATCACATCATCTGAAGTGATTTGGCAACGTTTTAGCACACGCCCACAATTCGTTCCATCTTTTAATACAGACATTGACAACCTTCGGCCTTCTGTCAAAAGGTTCATCTCACTCATTATTCCATGACCACCATTTTATGCAATCATCAGTGGCTTCACGATGTAATGCTCTAATGTTTTTAAATAATTTTTAATCTGTCTTTAACTTATTCTTGTCATATTTTATATAATTTTGACCATTGTACCATGTATCCAGCTCTCACCATGTTACTGGACGTTTCCCTCACCCTATACGTAAACAACAATTAGCAACATCCTCACATACTACTGTAAGTTGAGTCAATTTAAATTCATTTTACACTTTTGTTGCTACTTTTATCATTGTAATTGCAGCTTCTGATGATGATGGCAAAGTCCATTGAAAGCTAGAGAGAATTAAAAAAGTATAAAGAGCCCTCTTTGCTTAAATTTTGTCGAAGTACCCAACAAAAGGCGGAAGCTTTAATTTTTCACCTATATATATATATATATATATATATATATATATATATATATATCATGCGGAGAAAGGTATATAACAAAAAACAGGAAAATAATGGGCAAAATACGCAAACAGGAGGAAAGTGGATTCGAGCAGAAAATAGGATAGGTAACCCGAGCGATACGTATTTCTGCTGGTTGGCTTCATCAGACCCAAAATGAATGCACATATGCAACTACAAAAGTAGATACACATGCCCACACATACGGATACGGGTGTAACCTGAAGAAATGAGGATGGAGAGGGAAAAAATCTACACACGAAGTCCACAACAACCTACACATTGTAGTACAAAATGGCTAAAAGACCTCGAATTTTCAAAGAGACATCTAACCACAACCACGCGGCCCATTATTTTCCTGTTTTTTGTTATATACCTTTCTCCGCATGATCATTTTCTCTTTGTAGATCCTTTGGGTTTGAAGTACCACAGCAAGTGGCTATAACAGGCCGCGTGGTTGTGACTAGATGTCTTCTTGAAAATTCGAGGTCTTCTAGCCATTTTATACTACAATGTGTAGGTTGGCTCTTGTTGTGGACTTTGTGTGTAGATTTTTTAGCTCTCCATCTTCGTTTCCTCAGGTATCAGTATGTGTGGGCATGTGTATCTACTTTTGTAGTTGCATATGTGCATTCATTTCGGGCCTGATGAAGCTAAACAGCAGAAATACGTATCGCTCGCGTTACCTATCCTATTTTTTGTTCGAATTCACTTTCCTCCTTTTTGCGGATTTTGCCCATTATTTTCCTGTTTATATATACTAAGTGACATATAAATCCGAACACCCAGTTTAAATGGTTTTATTTTAATAAAAGTTGGTGAATGTATTTATCTTACTGTAAATAACAAGTGAAAAATTTTTCAGCCTTATCAGTTGGACATTCCGGTTTTTATACTGCCTTTTTTTAATTCACTAACGTTCTAAAAATGAATATTTCAGCCGCAGTAAAGAATCAACGTTGGCGGATTTTGGTTCTTGACATCCTTTACGATCGGTTACGATGCCTAGAGTACGGAGACCTGTACGATTTCGTCAACTTAGTGAGTTTGATAGGGGCCGTATAGTGGGACTTCGAGAAGCTGGACTTTCTTTTCGGGCAATTGCAGTTAGAGTGCAAAGAAGTGTACTGTGGTTAGGTATTGTCAGGCATGGCTTCGAGATGGCCGTACGCAAAGAGCAAGGGGCACTGAACGCCGCCGTAGAACAACAGACCGTGAAGATCGCCGCCTAAGATTATTGGCCTTAAGGGACCATTTCTCTACTACCAGGTCCATTGCAAATGAATGGTTTGCAGAACACGGAAGACCTATTGGCATGCGAAGTGTTTACCGACGAATGAGAAGTTTTGGCTTGTTTTCATACCGGCCACACTGGGTCCTCCCTTTAACTCGAGAACACCGACGTAATCGCCTTGAGTGGTGCAGACAACGGTCATTCTGGGATCAGGAATGGAACAGTATTGTCTTTAGTGACGAGTCTCGACTTTGTTTAGGCACGCACGATGGTCGTGCCAGGGTTAGAAGGCGACGTGGTGAAAGGAGGAATCCACAGTTTTTTGTTGAAAGACATGTTCATCACACTGTTGGAGTTATGGTTTGGGGTGCTATAGCTTAAGGTTCCAGGTCACCTTTAATCTTCATCAGAGGTAACATGAACGCGCAGCGTTATATCCACGAAGTTCTAGAACCCCATCTTTTACCCTATCTTGACACCCTGGCAGATCCAACTTTCCAACAAGATAATGCCCGACCACATGTTGCGAGAGTCACAATAGACTTCTTTCAACATAATGATGTCACATTGTTACCATAGCCACCAAGATCTCCCGACTTATCCCCAATTGAGTACGTGTGGGATATGATGGGTAGGAGATTGCTCAATTTGCAACTTCCTCCTCAGACTCTAGAAGCACTTCGAGAGGAGTTGGTGGTTGCCTGGAATGAGTTACCACAGGAGGACATTGACCACCTGATCAGAAGCATGCCTAGGCGCGTTGGAGAATGCGTAGCACATCATTTACTTATTATGCTTCATTAAGTACTTATACAAAATTTTATTAAAATAAAACCATTTAAACTGGGTGTTCGGATTTATATGTCACTTAGTATATATATATATATATAGAGTCAGAAATATTTAATTATATTTTGTAGTATGCAAGTGTTGACCAGTTCGTCAGGCCTATCAGAGAAACCGCAAGATTGTACTCGAAATATACTCCTGTATACCTTTACACTTTCGCACATGAGGGACCTCTTTGGGGAGTCTACAATAGAACTAGTCCAGGTAATATATTCCTATTCACCATCACATAGATCTTACCAAAACTATTTTCATGTCTATCAGTTAATTCTTACCAGAAAACCATGGTTACTACTATAATTGACATATCGGTCGCACACCTACGGAATTCCGTTTCGAAATAGCCCAGCAATGTTAGGCTCTTTCTGCAAAAAAACCAGATCCCTTTTTTTTCTGGAAAAAAAGCCTTGTTTGCCTTGACAATTTACAATCTAAATTCCGAACATATTTCAGTAATATTCGGCTATTAGTAAATATTTTATTTTCTTTGAATGAACTTTGGAGGTAAAAATAATATCATTATTGTTCATTGTTACAGGAGTGGCGCACACCGAAGATTTGGGCTACTTATTTGACTTCAAACACGATGGTTCAAGCGTAGACTACCAAGTGAGGCACAGAATGACCAGGATGTGGGCAAACTTTGCAAAAACCGGAAATCCAACCCCTGAAGAAGACGAACTTTTGGGAACAAAATGGATACCAAACACCAGTGGAGACAGTGAATTGAAAACTTTAGTTATAGACAAAGCCCTGCATATGGAAACAAAAATCGAGGCGGATGAATTAAGCTTCTGGGATGATATATTTAAAACCTATGGCACGAAACCGTACAGTACTTACTAGAATGCTTGAGGTCTGTGTTGAATAAATTTATTCGAATGAGAGTGCGTTTTCCTCTATAGCGTAGAAACCCATCACTGGCGCTGTGTTACATATTCTCCGAGAAACACACATAAGAGAATTACACCGAAAATTACGGTCATAATTATGCCGAAAATTTGCATGGAAAACATATGAAGATTTTCTCTACAACCTGTATGACACAAGCAAACAAAATTTCCGAGTAATTCATATGATACGCCTGCGCATTAGAGTAATATTTTTGGGTATGACGTCCAATATAATCGGAAAGACAACAGACGTCGTTGATTTAAATTTATTTTTGAAATCAAGATCTTGGTTAATATTATAAAACTTCTCAATGCTTGGACTATCGCATCCAGCGCATGACGCCGCAAATTTCTGTTTTTGTACCTTGTACAGGTTTGGCCATTTTTGGTACTCCTCCAACAACAGTATAACTTCTTACCGATTCCACGACATTACGAATAAACAATAACAATAACCGCTTCTTCGTACGACTCGAACAGGACCACACCCACAAATTTTGAGTGAGGTTATGTTGTTAACGTTGACATTTGACAATGACATGCACGGAAATAACCCTCTGCGCCGATTCTCACGCATATTCTATAGAAAGGGTTTTATATTTTTACCATGAACATTTTCACAAGAATTCTTTTAGGTGTAATACGGCATAATTATCACCATAATTTTCGGAGTAATTCTCTTGTGTGTAAAACGGCTCTTACTTGGAAAACCTTACCTATGATAAAAAAATGTGATACCAACTTTCGGGAAGCAATAACACCCCGAGTGAGAATGCTAGTGACATTAAGATATTTGGCTACGGGTGATAGTTATCTATCGCTTATATATCTATTTCGGATATCTAAACCAAGCAGTTTCCAATACCGAACAGTTGTATTTTCCTGTTTAAAGAAATCAGCCGCTAATAAATAAGCCAACTATGGAAAGAAAATGAGAATATGTTTCCTTCTTGTCCCCTGAAAGCATAACCAACCGCAGACAGTACTTTTTCGGGCTCATTAGCCCTCGTCAGTGCGGTTTAGCTCTGCTCGCCGACTACTGGCAAGTCAAGGAGACAGCCGATTTGTTATTCCATAATTCATCCGAATTATGGTAATCCTCAATTAAAGATAATGTTTCTTCATTGGTCCACTCCATTTTGTCGCCTGCTACAAGCCGTACCGATCCGAACGGGTTTAGACAACCGGCGACACTGATCAACACGTGGATTTATTCGCTGACGGCGCTCTCGAGAGGCGACAACGGACAAATTGTGGCAGGCGGCAAGGAGATATTTTTTTGTCGCTTTTTGTTGCCTCTATGGAAAGACAGTGTGCCGCATGCGTCCATGCCGTGTGCTACATGTTGCCCAAAAGTTGCCTCAGTGGAATTGCGCCGTAAGAATACGAAGTCTTGGGAATGGTTACACGGGATGTTGAGAATGATCTATGCTTGGAGGCGATGTCATCTTTATGAAGAAACAATTTACTTTACAAGAAAAATAAAGGTTGTTTACAGGTACATCTTTTTGAGAGATTTGCTGAGATCATACTTGGAAACATGGCTATGACGATGGAAATTGTATATGAACGTCAAATTACAGCATAAGGTAGGACATCGTCTTAGAAAATACCATAATCGATGGTTTTGCTTGATATTAAATTCGATGTCAGAGAACTTATACCAAATCTCTATCATTAAATGTGGGAACTAAGGCTGAAATACAGTTATATGCAGTGGAATATCTTTCACAAGGATTGTAGATAAGGTAGCCAAAAAAATTAGGCAAATGCTGTCATTTGAATTTTTATTTTATATCTATATATAAATATGTACACTCTTATTTTAAAAACACCCATAGGAAATTATATAGTGCTATCAATATGTATCATATGACCCAGTACCATACTTTTGATAAATACTATGATAGAACTTCATGTCCTCATCGAATGGATTTAATGCCATTGTCATATTCAAATTGATGTCCAGGTATAACATATTGTCAAAAAAGCCTACTGCTGGAAACCAGGTTACGTTTTGGAACAAATTGGTTTTTATTGGAGTTGGATTACTGAAACAAAAAGATCAGTCACGTTTATATTGTGGCGGTGCTCATTAAGGCCTGTATCGTCAGTCGTTCCTACAATTGTAGGACACCTCTATGGCCTCCTTAATTATCATAGTTTTCCACTTCTCCGTGTCAGAGCTCTGTTTTGAGGTTATGTCACAAACATCTATTTGCCTTTTGATTTATATCACATTTCATCAGCCTGAAATTTCCTACAATTTACAAAGAAAACATATCTTCACAATAGGAGAGCGCTGACGCTGACACAGAACAGGTGCAATCTAGAAATTTTTGATGGAGAGAAAGGAGTATGACAATCAAGGAGGCCATAAAGGCGCCATATAATTGTAGGAACGACTGACGATACAGGCCTAAGGGAAAGGAAAGCGAAGAGAATCATACGCATAATCTAATAAGCTAAGCGACGTGTCATGTTTGACGTGTACTTGAAGCACAGTTTTTGTCTATTTTGGGGCACGATAAACCACGTTGTACAGTGCGTCGTATGCGCCATCTTAGATCCGCCCTTGCTTCAGTTGTTTGGAATAAATTCTGTATTCCAGATTCTGACTCCTCTGGTAAAGCAAACTTACTTGTATTTGACAAAGTTTGTCCACATTTTAACCATTTCTCTTTGTATCAATCTGTCATTTTCAGGAACATCTTTTATTGCCGGCTGTGTGAACAGGTACCCCAATTCCCCTGCATGTCCCACACCTACAGACAGTAATAATGTCAATTACAAAACATAAAGACAAGTGGTTTTTCGGAAACCCAGATGAAAAACAAAGAGCAATAGTGCTCATGTCCGCAATAAAGGAACATTAGCAAAAATAGAAGGATTGGTAAGCCCAGCGTCGTACGTGTCTGCTTATAGGGTTCATCAGGCTTAAATAGATGGGCATTAAAGAAACTGAAGCCAAACATGTCCATCGCATCTGGTTCCAAGTGATACCAACAAGAGCCAACAGGCACATTGGTGGCTTCGATTCCGGACATGCCCACGATTGTCCTTTGTTTTTTTAAGCATAAAACATGGAAGTAATAGTTCGCGGTAATAGTCTTAAAAAAAGCAAAAAATTTCATACAACAAGGGGGTTAAAACGGCATGTTTTTAGGGAAAAGCGACTTTAAAGTGAAATAAAATCTCTGACAACGCCGCAATGTCAGACGCAAATTACGACGGAACGCAGTGTAAATAAAGATGGAGTTTGTAATTTTTGGCTCTTAGTCATTATTTTATTATTTGATAATGTACTCGTAAAATGCAAACAATTAAAAAAAAACGGACTTATCACTAACTGTCACAGCGCGTCTACTGGTGTGTGAAAGTTTATTGAACGTATTAAAAAAGATCCACTTATAAATAGGGAACACAATTCTAATACATACATTGTTTTTCTTTTTAAAACCCAGACTGCACTTTTTTTGTATTTAAAGAAGATGTTCAAAATGTCGTCCTCCACTTCCCACACAAGCTTCAATTATGACGAACCCAGTTTCTTCTTACTCTAGGTCCGCGAAGTTGTCCATTTATTATTTTAGCCGCATTAAAATTTTTTTCGCGAAGTTATGCTTTAGTTGTTATTGGACCAGCCCCATAAACCATCCCTTTAATTTCTCCCCAATACCAGAAATCCAACGGATGGAGGTCAGGAGATCTTGCTGGTCATTTTAGAGGATCAGGAGCATTTCGACCGATCCAGCGATTTGGATGATGTTCATTCAAATACTGAATGACGCCTCCAAAAATGCGTGGTGGTGCCCCGTCATGAAGAAACCACAAATTCTGTCTCCATTGTAACGGAATGTTGTCTAAGGTCTGTTACAAAAGTTCTGGTAGGTTATTGGCTAGAAAGCTAAGGTATCATTCTCTTGACAGCTTTGGGGGTAACTTGAAAGGGCCAATTACCTGATCGTCAAGAATACCCGCCCAAATATTTATTTTAAAACGTTGTTGGGAATGACCTTCACGAATGGTATGAGGATTTTCTTGGGCCCACGTGTGAGAATTATGGAAATTTAATATCCCGTCTCGCGTAAAAGTACACTCGTCCGTCGCTAGAATGTTTTTAAAAAATTCCGGATTTTCAATGTTTTTGTGTAAAAACCACTAACAGAATGTTAGTCTGCGAGGATAGACTTCTGGTAACAAGACCTGCACTCGTTGTACATGGTAGGGATAAAGCAAATTTTTCCGTAGGATTCTATGGACTATAGTATGCGATAGTCCTACGCGACGGCCTAATTCCCGAGTGCTGATATCTGCATTGATTTTCACGATATTCAAAATTTGTTCCTCCTGCTCTACAGTAACCTGTCCGTCACGAGTGCGAATATTAGTGGGCTGAACACTTCCTGTATCTCGAAGTCTTTGGCACACTTGCACAAATGTCCTTCTGCCTGGGTGTATCCGTTGGCAAAATGTGTAGCGATGAATTTGAGCTGCAAGATTTGAATTCTGATGAGCTTCACCCTAAGCTAGCAACATGTTGTAGAACTCTTGACTCGAGAACGTTGTAAATAAACACGACGTCGTACGCGAACAAAGACAAAACAACATACTAACCACTGCTACCGCTTGCGATCTATTACCGGTTCGATAAGAGTGACGATAGATTTAATTTAATGAAAGTTACTAACTGAATACAAATTTTGGCTTAGCTTAGAAAAACTTAATGCCATTTATTTGTTGATTACCCAATTTAAAAACGTTTTAGATTGGATTATAAAAATTAGTAAGATTGTGGTGATTGTGGTCGATATAAGGCACTTAAAGTTGTAAACTATAAAGCCATTCAGACAAAAATCTATTGACTTTTGGACCATGGGTCATATGAACTTTTTGACTACCATAACGTTTACACCCTGTATAGAAGAATACAACTAAATCTGACCAATCAGTTTTTTCATAGTGAAAATAGCCTTTAAAGAACTGGAACATTTTTTGCAGCTTATATTTTTTCCAAATCTTACCTGCTCCTGGCTCAGGCACAACAGCTTCGGTTTTCCTTCCCAAAAAGCCTTCATACGAGAACTCATAAAAATAGACGTTCACAAATTTTCTCATATCGAGAGCTGTCCTTATGATAGGTCTGTTGAACTGGTCACTACTGATAAACTAAAAATTAATAATGAGGATGTTTTCCAAAGTTTGTAGAGATCATGCACTTTTAGTTGGCGCAACACAATAATTTCTATTTTTGGGCGCATTCAAGGAATTCATGCTGTATAATTTATAGCAGAGGTTCTCAAACTATTTTGTCTACTGCTCACTTTGAGAAACATTCATTTTTTAGCGCTTCCATAAATTGTTGAAGAAGACGTGTGTCTCGAATGGGCATCTGAAAGGGGTTCATCATTGACATTTTCATAAACTACTTGACAATTACTTGAAACTGTAATGATCGACTTGACTTGATTTTTTTATTGTTCGACTTGAGGTCAAGCATTTTCAAACCACTTGATACTTTTGGGCAAATTAAATTTTTGTTCTACTAAAGCCCTTCAGTGATATTTATGTGTATAACCCATGAGCCGCATTTTGATGCCAATAATCACGTAGAAAATTGAAAATTGTGTCCAGACGTACACTGTCATCTCGTATGAAGCATGCAAACATTGTTGCTAAGCCAAAAAACACGAAATCGACAGATGGTGTCGTTCATATTCTGTAGATTGAAGAAAAAATCGGGGCGTCAAATCAGCGGTGGATCAAGGGCTTTTAAGCCAGGCAGCGTCATCTATGGAAAGTTTATTTTGGTATAGCGTGGGCACAGAACATGCGAGGGTTGTCCCAGAAGTACCACTGCCGACATCACTTCTTCATCGTTGGAAAATCTTTGACCACTGAGCCATTTTTTCGAGCTTGGAAACAGAAAATAACCCGAGTGGGCTAAATCTGGTTAATAGGGTGCATCAGGTAGCAATTCAAACTATAATTCGTTAATTTTGGCCATTGCAATAACGGATTTGTGAGCTGGTGCATTGTCTTGATGAAACAACACTTTCTTCATAACCAAATGCGGCCGTTTTTGCTTGATTTTATCGCCCAAACGTTGCAATAAGTTCGCATAATACTCGCCGTTGATAGTTTTACCTTTTTCAAGATAGTGAATGAAAATTATCCCACGCGTATCCCAAAAATCCGATGTCATAACGTTGCCTGCAGATGAAACGGTCTTCGCATTCTTTGGAGCCGGTTGTCCCTTTTGAGTCCATTGTTTTGATTGTTCTCTTGTTTTGGGTGTGAAGCGATGGGCCCATGTTTCATCCATGGTTATGAAACGGCGCAAAAATTCTGCTTTGTTGCTGTGAAACTTCGCTAAACACTCAATTGAAACATCTTCACGATACTGTTTTTGCTCGATTGTGAGCAATCGCGGCACTCATCTTGCACACAGCTTTCTCATGTCCAAATTTTCAGATAATATGCGATGAACCGTCCTTTTTGAAATGCCTACTATGTCTGCTAGCTCGCGCACTTTCAGTCGACGATCATTCAGTACCGCTTTGTAAATTTTCTTCACCATTTCTCGAGTCGTCACCTCATTTGGTCGACCACTGCGATGCTCGTCTTGGCAGCTCATACGGCCTCGTTCAAACTCTGCTACCAAATATTTTACTGTTGTAAACGAAGGAGCAGACTCACCCAGAGTAGAGTCCAGTTCAGCTATTATATTGGCTGGGCTGAGGCCTTTGAAATAAAAGTATTGTACCACATAACGATGACCAATTTTCTCCATTTTCACAAATTCGCTGAAAACGTTCAGTATTGATGGCTGCCAAACAAATATTGAACAACGTCAAACTTGACACATATGCTTTATAGGTTGCATACTTTCTAATACAATGATATTTTTCAAAGATCTATCGCCATCTCTCGGTCATGCCGGGTACTTCTGGGGCCACCCTCGTATAATGTCCATAAATCTTTGTATAACAGGCACAACCTCGGGCACAACTCAAAAATAATTATTATTATATAGGAGAGTAGTTCAAAATCCATTCAGTCGTCACCTCCACTATTTTTAATTTTACCACCACTATAAATCCGTTAGGACCTTCATGTGTCTTAACTCGTGGTTAACGAATGAAAAGAATTTTTTTTGTATTAGCTGATGAACACGTCCCAATTTAGCTAGTTCAAGTTAGACACCGATGTGTACCCAGTTTATTTTCATTCGTACCAGTACCTTCCTACTAGATTGATATCGTGCTTACTATTCCCTCATTCACACCATTACTGACAGAAAATTATGCACCTTGCTTACCGATTGACTTATAACTGTGTTTATTGGCTTCAAGCTCGATCTCACTCTCGGAATTCCTAATCGTAATAGCCCAGGAAGCTTAGATTTTTCGTGTGAAGAAGCTGATATTTGTGTTGGCAAGAAAAGTCAAAGTCTAAGGCTGCTGTCTAACATGCAACGTGCTGGAGCTCAAATACTAGTTTTTGTTGCCTATAAACTTTAATGGACAGTGATAGTCATAGGCTTAGCAGAAGCCAAACATGATCAATAAATTTCAACATAAAAGACTTTGACTAAGCAGCAGACAGAAGAGCGACATAGACCTATGAGGAAAGACGCATATAGACGTTCAAGACAAATATCTATGGATTTTTCAGCTATGGACAGAGTGAATACAGCATCTATAGTACGAGGGATGTCTTTTAAGTTTTGCATATAGAAACATAGTAGGCCGCGCGGATCGAACGTCAGTACTGAATCTTAACCTCACTCTTTAGTAAACTTAAATTCAAAGTTTCACAACAATACGTGCAGTGTTCTCACTACAGTGAATTTTTAAGTGTCACCAAGTCATGAGAAAAATGGAACTCAACCGAGAACATTTTCGCGCCATAATTTATTACCACTTTCAGAGACAATGCAAGCTCGCACACAACCCAAAAAAAAAGACAGTATTTAATGGAAGAAAACGTGGAATTATTGGACCATCCTCCATATAGTCCCGATCTAAGTCCTAAAACAGACTGCGTGGTCAAAGGTATTTGTGCCGATTCTATTGCGATGAAATATATGAGTATATTTCCAACTTTAGCGTTATATGTTTTTGGCTAATTTTAGATTAGAAACCCGATTTTTGGAATCATGTTTCCCTCATTTTTAGCAATGTTAGTGAGATGTGAATGAGCGTGCTGACCTTTAAGTGTCGAAAAAAGTACAAATATACAAAGCACTGTAGCGTTTACTTCCTTGAATGCGCGCAATTGCTTTGTGACAGTTTATGTGGTTTAATGAGGAATCAGAGTGGTAGGCTCTGAAAAGCGCAACTGATTATTACAATACTTTTAACAGTACCTTACTAAGACCCATAGTGTCATCAGCTACAAGTGTTGAATTTCCCAAAAAATGATATCGGATTTCCTTGGCAGCCTCTTTCCGTTTTGATGTGTCGTTGGTCAAATCCGCTGGTGCAATGAGCTCCACGTTTAAGTCATATTTGACAAAGAATAGCTTGAGAATAGCTGTGAAGATAAAAAATATCAGTAACTAGTGAAATATCTGTTTTTTTTGAGAATAATCAATCTAAATTTTTCATAGGGAATCAAAAATTATAAGAATTTGTAGGGTATAATTTCAATTCTGCTAGACAGATCTGCTTGACCTTAAATCGTCCCACTAATACACTAGTAGTACGAGAGTAGGAAGTTTATTTATCAACGTTAATTGTATCACAAGCTGAATTATGAAGATGTTTTCATTTCTCAACATAGTCAAAACGTTTAAATACGTGTCAAATCGTGGCACCAGCAGTAGCATATCTGTTTTCAACGCACCTAATTCAACAAGCTGCTGATGAATTTCAGCGGAAGGTACTATTTTTGGGTATAAAAAACGAATTATGTACGCACTTCACAGTCGTCGGATTTACTGATCAACATGGAGACAAACAAGTAGAATAATCTCACAAGAGTGAAATCAGTGGTAATTGACTTTACTATTCATACAAATGTATTCATATTTCCATAACAAACGGCGCACACATATTTTTGTTGGCTTGAAGTACATATAGTTTTGTAAATCTTTAGGTAAATACGTTAAATATACAAACACTCAAAAGGTTAAGTTTCTGTTTATTTACATATCTACTTCATGGGAAGATTCCGTCAATATATTAACACTAGTTAGGAACCACGACGGAAAGAAACTTATAATTATTTATTTAACAATTATTGTATTAAGCTATTCATTATTATTATTTAACGTGCTTATACGATTACTAAAAGGTTATGTTTGTATATTATGGAGATGTAATCTCTCTCTTACGAGGTTATTTGAAAAGGACTAGGATTTGTAATATTGTTTTTCAGCCCTGAAAACAAACTTAAATATTTTTTATAAGGAACATGGACGCAGTATTTCCCACGTCAAATCTATAATAAAAAACACCGAGACACAGAACCTATATAAAAATTAAATTTTGTGATACAATAAACACGAAGGCTAACACTAATGAATACGAAATTATAAGAATTTAACGTTTGGTTTGTTGTGAACACAATGACGCATGTGCTGTGTCTAAATGTGATGAAAAGAAAAAACAAAAATAATAAAAAATTACAGTACTGGGTGGTGTTTCGAGGCGGTTATTCATAGACAACGAAGACGGACAGATTTGACTAACGTACATTAGACAGTGACTAATGGGCAAAGCTCCTACGGACCGCCAAGACAAACAAATGACGAACAGTAATACACACCTACATTGTCAATCTTTCAACGTCATAGTTTTTAATTTCCAGGCCAATTCGGAGGAACTATTTTAATCGCGAAACACTTAGAAAATGAGATATTATGGTTTTAGGATGTAAGATGACATATACTCGTACATTACGAGGGTGGTCCCAGAAGTACCCGGCTTGACCTAGAGATGGAGATAGTTGTTTGACAAATATCACTGTATTAGGAAGTATGCAACCTATAAAGCACATGTGTCAAGTTTGAAGACGCCCCGTTGTTTAGTATTTGTTTGGCAGCCATCAAAACTGAACGTTTTCAGAGAATTTGTGAAAATGGAGAAAATTGGTCATCGTTATGTGATACAATACTTTTATTTCAAAGGCCTCAGCCCAACCGATATGAAAGCTGAACTGGATTCTACTCTGGGTGAGTCTGCTCCCTCGTTTACAACAGTAAAATATTGGGTAGCAGAGTTTAAACGAGACCGTATAAGCTGCCAAGACGAGCATCGCAGTGGTCGACCAAATGAGGTGACGGAAATGGCGAAGAAAATTCACAAAGCGGTACTGAATCATCGTCGACTGAAAGTGCGCGAGCTATCATACATAGTAGGCATTTCAAAAAGTGCGGTTCATCGCATATTATCTGAAAATTTGGACATGAGAAAGCTGTGTGCAAGATGGATGCCGCGATTGCTCACAATAGAGCAAAAAAAGTGTCGTGAAGATGTGATGTCGGCAGTAATGGCTATTTTGAGGAGCAAGACAGCTCTTATTATAAAAAGGGTATCGAACTTATTGAACATCGCTGGGAAAAGTATATAGAGTCAAAGGAGGTTATTTTGAAAAATAAATACATTTTTTACAGAATTTTTGTATTTTCTTCGTTGGGTCGGGTACTTCTGGGATAACCCTCAAATGTCTGTGGGGGTCAGTCTGTTCACTAATCTTTGGCATCCCAATAGTTTGAAAATTCTGTAATTATGGATTTCAGGTGGCAAGTATTGGGACCATACGCGCATATAAAAATGGTAATTTAATATACATTTTCCGAAATATTTAAATGCAGAAATTTCATTGATACGATCGACATGCGATTTGAGTTGTTTATAGGCCGGGAAATCCATTTATGGACCTTCATTTTGCAAATTATTCGGAAGCAGATTCTTTTGAAATCATCTAAAATTGACTAATGGAAGTCAAAATATTTGTGGTGGAACAAAGCGAATGTTTGTACCCAATGCTATCTAAGACATCTTTTGACTTACATGGTATACCGCTAGCGGCTACTGCTTCATTCGAGTTCACACCTAGGAGAACTGGTACCCTATGGAAAGCGCCGGTTCTCAATAAATCTTCACTTTTATTGAAGAAGAACGCTCCGTCGTGATATGGTTCGATGACAGGTCCAAACGTGAGGCCCGCTAATGGGTTCTCCAATGTGATCTAGAATGGTTGCACTACATAGGGTGTTTCATAAAAACGCGGCAGTACATCTTGAGAAAAAATAACAGAAAAAAGTCATAAACACGAGCACTAGAATGCCTTGTTACCTAGATACAGAGTGTGTAAATTATGATTTCGAAATCCAAAATAAATTATCACAACAGTCGATTAAGATATCGACCTTAAGTTTGGAATATGTAGTTCTGATATCGTAGACAATACGTATACACATTTTTGTGCTTGAGACTATACCATGTCGTAGAAATTGTAAAAAAATATTATTAACGCCACCTTTTTAAAAATCTGCATTATAATCCAGGAAATCTAGCAAACATCGAACTAAACTCCAGAGGAAATTGAAGGTGGAGAAATTATTTTGTGAAAATGGGTGAACGAGAATATGGGTCATGCCAGGAAAAAATATTTCGCTTCAGTATTTTATTTGCGTTAAATTGGGTTTTAAAAACAATTTCCCATTAAGTTATTTAAGGCGGCTCAGACGCAGTGAATTTCAAGCCATTTACAAGGGTTCAGCTGCTTCGAAACTGACACTCCATTTTTCAATATTTTTGAATGAAATTCATACAGTATGTTCAGAAGATAATTGCCCAGCGTGCTATAGGAGCACTTTTTGAAATTTTGTTTTTGCACAAGTTTTATGATGGGTTGAAGTGCGCACTTTTTCTGTTCAACTTCGCGATTCTTTTAAAAAGAATCTAGTGAAAAAAATGAAAAAGTGGTTCTATAGAACCCTGTGGGGTTTTGTTTTCAACACACTATGAAAATTTCTTCAAAAACATCAAAAAATAAAGCGTCAATTTCGAAGCCCGTATTTTGGGCGAATTTTGTCTACCGTTTCGTGCTGCCAACCCAAGCGTTGCGGCGCAATGTACAGACTAAGAAAGGACGTATTCATAATTTGGTGGCCCTATTTCATATAATATCGCATAGATAAGTCGTTCTGCAAATAGATACTCATAATCGCGATCGCTGATACTCCTCGAAGGAAGTATTGTAATCGCGAAGAATTTCTAAAATGAGATGTTATGTTTTTTAAGTCATATGATATCTATATCACGAAAAACTATATCACTCATCATCAACTTGGAAATTACCGCTCGGATTTTTATCAAATTTCCACACGGGGTTACTAGTATGCCAAAGCTTTGTAGTTTTAGTCCTATGGCAAGGGTGCTATAAGCAAAAAAGAAAAAGTAACAACTGCTGAAACTCCATTTTTGACGTTACAGGGGTTCCTTATCATTGACATAAAAAATGTACTGCTTAAGAAGTGGGGGTTGGGAGAAGGTGATTCTAAATGTTGCATTTTTGATATCAGTGAAACACGTTCTATTATTAAGAAGCTTCTGGTCCCACCGATTATAGGAAATTTTAGTAACGAAAATCCAACGAATAATGTGCTCACGATTTGAAAAAATCGGTACCTGCTCTATACGTTTGACACCAAGAGCCAACAGATCTATCTGAAACTGCCGACAGTAGGGAAGAATGAATTCGGATATCACTCCAGTCAAGTATGGGGGAATAGCGTGGTACTTTATAATTATCGATATGTCAAGGAAATATGTTTTTGAGAACGATAATAGATTTTTTATACCTGCATTTTCATTTGAATTTCATGACCCGTGAAATGTACCCATTTCGCCGTTACCTTCAATTTGTGTTCTGCAGTTGGTGATGTTTTTCTAGATATAAGCAGGACATAATTGCCTAAGGTGCTATCAGAGCTTTTTACAAAATTTTGTCTGTGTGCAAGAATTATGGTGGGTTGAAATGCTTACTATTTGTGCTCAACTTCTTGATATTTTAAAAAGATCCTAGTGGATAAAATCGAAAAAGTGGATCGTTAGCACCCTGTGGTCTTTGTTTTTAACACGCTGCAAGAGTTTCATTTGGAAATAAGAAAAAATGAAACGTGAGCTGTGAAGTGCAAATCGGTTTTTGGGCGAAATTCGTCTACTGTTTCGTCCTGCCAGTCCAAGCGATGCGACGGTGCGTTCCGACTAAGAAAAAATGTATTCAAATATTTTGATATCTTTAGTAAAATAAATTCAAGAACTCAAATTTACATTCGTTTATTCATGTCAATAAACACAATTATGTTTACAAGGGTCATGGTAACAATTGCACGAAGGTCATAAAAATATCTTATGCCGTCAAAATAAGAGGAAAAAGTGAGGTAGTTTTTGCAAAGCAATAAACAGGTAGGCTTACATCTGGATTAAGTACATTTCTTGTCTACTGTAATAGGTAGATGGAGGCGATGCTGCCAGAAATGGATTTGTGCGATCATACAAGATTTAACTGCCATGTCCAATGATTTTTGTATTGCCTTTTTTATTGCGTTACTAGAAAACTCTGTTGGGTATATGATGGAGTTTGCCTTGTCTGCCTTCTTCTACAAACTTCACCAAATCGAGACGCTGTCAACCTTATCCTCCGATGAAGGCGCCACAAAGTACAGTCCTGTGATTTGGTGACTTGTTCGATCTGCAAAATCTCGTCGTCACTGTTTTTAAGTTTCCCTCAAAATTCTTGCTTAGCAACCTCCAAATCAATGTCGTTCATGTCAGGTTTTTGACAGAATTCGCCATAAAACTATTAATTTTCTTTGGAATTTCTATCCGAATTTTTGGTTATTTTTATATCAGCTTTTTTGGCCAGAGTTTCTTTTCAAGATTCTTGCGTTTGAGTCTTTGTTCCATCTTAGCGATAAGCGAGGTTGGACTAAGCTTAGAACGCAAATGTATTTGGACCACATAGACAGGCCGTTGGGTATTGTGGCTCACTACAGCTGCAGCACATCTTTTATTGTCCATTATCAACCTTGATAAAAAAAGGCACTCACGAACAATTACACCAACAAGAGTACAGCACAACAATTCAACAACACAATATCGACGAACAATAACAAGGGGAGAAAAATACTAAATGATCACTTAATCGAAATCCGACTCTGTTATTATAAAAATGTCCTTTCATCTTTTAAGGTAGCGACGACGACCGTCTAGGGCCAGCCCACCCTTGTTTCCTTTTCACCCCCTCGTTACCTCAGCAGATGGAGCTCGTGATTGCAGGAGCCCCGTTGATTGCTAAGGTAATGAACCTTGGCCGCTTTTTAGCACTACAGCAGTCGCAGATTACATTTTTAGTTGCGCGAAGAATTCTTAAGTTGTTGCAATAAAACCACTAAAAAGCTGTAAATACACTATTTACCTTGACCAACTCTATTCGCACGACACTGACCCCTAACCTTGAGACGAATATGTGCTTAGACTCCTTATAAAAGCACAATAAATTAAAAAATATCTTAGATCCTTGTTGTTTTAAAAAACTGTTTTTTAAATTCCATTCAACAGCTCCTGGCAGCCCTACTTACTATGTAGAGAAGGTGCATATTTTGTAGATAAGGCGCATGGCAGCAGAACAGAATAACCTTCCTGTGGTTCAAAAATATATAAAAAATATCTCTGAACTTTGGAGAGTGATCTTCATTCTTTCATTCAATGACAAATATACTATATTTTATTTGTTTAACTCATTTCAAAGTCATCGAACAAACACAGTGGATAAGGTGCAATCTCATAGCTATACTGCGACTTATGGTGATACAGAAAACGAAAATATCACGATTCCAAAAAAAAAGATTAGAGCAAGATCAACACGCTAAATAATTATTAGTTAGACAAACAGTGACTTATGCGCTTAAATTTAAATTTATTTTTTTCTTTGGTGCAAGGTTACTGTGTGGCATTAAGAGATAATGTTGCGCTTAATTACAAACTGTTATGTGCTTTAGTAATAAAAAAGTAAAATTTGTTTACATTTCATTAACCGCAAGCTCATTTGTATCTCTTTATCAAAATCTATATTCTGAACGCGTAATATATATTTTAATTTTTATAACTAAGCATTGTTGATATTTTGCATATCTAGAAGTACCTCCTCATCGCCCTCCCCCCTAACTGCACCTAGAGAGTTGATTTTTTCCAAGAAGACTGTGTAGTAGCTTCATTTAGTTACAATAATTGTAGAAAAAGGTTGATCAATCAACGAATTTATTTTCATTGCATTGTAAATCTTTTGCAATTTAAATTTAATAAAAAAAATTTATATCTCAGATGCAACTACTATACCCTCTCTACAAAATAAGCACCAGCCGAAATTCGAAGGGCTTCCTTGAGCTGTAGAATAGATTTTTGACAACGATTTTTTTCCAAAAGACGATAAGCTTAAGATATTTCGATATGCAATTTATTGTTAGAGCACATATTCCTCACAGAGTTAGATGTCCTTGTCGTGCGAATATAAATGTTACAATTTTAAAGTAAAAAAAGGGGTCAACCTTCATTCACTTAGCGACAAGATAACTAGACTTGAAAAAAATTTGTTTTTCATGCTGTTTTTCGCAAATTGAAGCGAAACGTTTTTTTCTAGAAAAACCCTTTTTACACGTTTTCACCGGATAGTTTGTCCACTTGCAATGTCCTGAAACATTTTGCTATGTTTGTTAGAGTTTTATTAAATAACGTATCCTATTTTACAAGAATCGCGTCTTTCGAGAAAACTGAATACTGTTCCGTTTGGAGAAATATTGGTTTGTATATTTGAGGCAAAATCTGTATAAAAAACTTCATCCCGTTATACTTTGAAAATAAGCTGAAATTAGTGAAGATTGACATTGAAAATTGCCTGCAGTATATTAGGAGAGTAATTCATAGCATTATTTGAACAACGGTTTGTCCCTATCAATCTCATCAGTGGCGTAGAAATATAGAACACCCTGTATTTGGTAATCAGATATTTTAGAACCAGTGTTTATTGAAACTTTTGTTGTTATTTTTGAGTTTACTACCGACAGGGATACTGCCACGTTTTGAGCAGCCTTGCTCTTCTAGCTAACATTCTATATGAAATCGCAGATGTTGAAAGAAAAAATTAGCATGCAGTTCTTTGAAAGATACTGCTTGGCAGCCAAAAGCTTGACTGACATTTACCATTTAGTTCCTGACTTAATCCATGGACTTTTACGGGAAACGTGACGTCCGTATGAATTCAATTTTTGCAATATTAATTTTTTTCTTATCACCTGTCGTTTCATTCTTGATGTAAAACTAACTCATTAGCAAAAAATCATATTGAAGAAATTATTTTGTGTAACACTTTAAATGTCACTGAGTATATTCAGTATAATAGCTGACACATGTGTAGTTTTTGACCTGCTCGTTATTGAAGCTGATCGCGATATACATGTATGTACAGTGGCCTTACACCAAACGTAACAGCAAACAACAGCTGATTACGAGGGATGTCTTTTAAGTTTTGCATATAGAAACATAGTAGGCCGCGCGGATTGAACGTCAGTACTGAATCTTAACCTCACTCTTTAGTAAACTTAAATTCAAAGTTTCACAACAATGTGTGCACAGTGCTCTCACTACAGTGAATTTTTAAGTGTCACCAACTCATTAGAAAAATTGAACATTTATTACAACTTTCAGAGACAATTATCGCAACACGAATGCATTGCTGAGTTACTGTCTGTTTTTGGCAACGAAGCACCACATCAGTCGACAATTTCCCGTTGGTATGGAGAACTCTAACGTGGACGGGTGAGTCTTAGCGACGATCCCAGGGTGTGTGCAGCAAAAGCGACAGTCACCCAGGAAAACGTCGATGCTGTACGCAAACTCATCATTGAAGATAGACATGTGACATATGAGGCGTCCTTGAAGATCTCAAAGACCTCAATTCAAAAAATTTTACATGAAGAATTAGGAGTAAGAAAATTAGTTTCTCGTTGGATACGCCACCTGTTGACTGAAGAGCAGAATGCAGCCAGGGTTAATTGGTGTCAAAAAACGCTTGACCGTTTCAGTTCCGGAAACTTAAAAAATGTGTACAGCATTGTTAGTGGTGATGAATCGTGGATTTACTGTTATGAACCAGAAAATAAACGACAGTCGGCTGTTTGGGTGTTCCAAGGTGAAGAAAAGCCAACAAAAGTCATCCGTTCTCGAAGTGTTTCGAAAAAGATGGTCGCGACATTTGTGTCAAAAGCGGGTCATATTGCAACAATTCCTCTTAATGAGCAAAGAACTGTTACTGCGGATTGGTATATCATCTTTTGTTTGCCAAAAGTCATCACCGAGCTTCGAAAAAATCAACCCTGAAAGAAGAATCATCCTCCACCAAGACAATGCAAGCTCGCACACAGCCCAAAAAACCAGGCAGTATTTAACGGAAGAAAACGTGGAATCTAACGATTTCTTTACTTTCCCGAAAATTAAAAACAGACTGCGTGGCCAAATGTTCCAGTCACCAGAAGAAGCAGCTGACGCATTCAAAAATGCCGTTTTGGATCTGCCAGCAAACAAGTGGAATAAGTGCTTCGAAAATTGGTTCGAGCGCATGCAGATGTGTATTAGTCTTCGTGGAGAATACTTCGAAGAACAATAAAGTCATTTAAAACTACCTACCGTTTTGTTTTATTTCCATATGCAAAACTTAAAAGACATCCCTCGTATATAGTAACATTCTGAATATTCCATAGCAGCAAGTTTCTGCTAATAATAACTTAAGTAATTGTTCCATCATCTATTGGGCAAGCAATGCAGTGATAGATGGGCTAATGACCACATGTGGAGATCCAAGAGTTAGATAAAACTGGAGCTAAGATCATCTACTTACAAGATTTGAGGTGACTGTCGCAATATCCTGTAGTTTGGTATATTTCACTTTTTTTAACGCATTTACCAAAGAAGCTGAAGTGGAGTGGTTCAGAAACAGATTCCTTCCAATTGTGACCGCCGTTCTTCTTGCTCTTCTATCCAGTGCCCATAAGCACAATGATGTCCCACTGTCCATGATTGCGGCTTTGAACAAACCTACCCAGAAAAATATACTTGCTAATAAATCAAAAGGTTAAGTCATCAGCATTGTCAAGACGGCTACAGTCCTACATGTACCTATGAACCTTACAATCAGGATTAATCTTGTGAAAATAGATATATTCATTTTCTAGGCAGTAAATGTTGATAATTGCTGAAAATTGGATCAACCTTATAACTGCTCTCAAATATTTCTAGGGTTTGAATCCCATACAGCTTTAGGAATGCTATTTTTTATAGGGTGTCATATCTTTTTTGCCCACAAAAATTAAGGAACAGGCACTTAGAAATATATATGAAAAAAGTATTTTAATTACATATACAACAAACAATCAGGAAAATAACGACGACGTGATTGCAACTGCTCCACAAGCCACAGCACAAGACGCAATTAACGCCTTTGAGCTAGGTCTACAATGGGCTGAAGAGAATGGTACATCCTACAACGAACTTTTACTTTTGAGAAGAATGAGGGACAAAGCTCTGATCTCGCGTTATAACAACCTTAAACAAAAAAAATTGATGAATATTTCCAAGCTTCATAATTTGATAAATTCATTAATGATTTTGATTAATAATTCTTGATTATTTTGGTACATATATATGTGCATTTATGCTTAATTTTATAATAAAACGAAAGCTCTCTATTGTAATTTAATTTACTAAATTCGACATACATAAACTATACATGATTTTTACTTCAAAGTGCATATATATATATACATAACATATACATATAATCTTACCATTGGATATGTAATTTGTCGGATTACAAGGTACTCTTTTGTAAAAAATTCCGGACTATAGGGGGTCTTAGGCAGTGCTCAATAACCCGACAAATTCGATAGACCGCCACTGCCCTGCATAATGTTTGTCGGATTACCGGATGTCCACTATATATCTGTCCGCAAAGTAACATTTTGCATGACAAGCTTCGTAATTTGTGGTGAAATTTTACGCCATTGAGTTTTGGAAAAATAAGTGTCGCTTTCCTAAAGCCACATCGATTCTGCTTGAAAAGTGTTCCTTCGAGACAAATTACTATTTTATAACGAAAAACAGGTTGAAGCACAAGTAAGTTAATTTTTACTGCGAAATAGTTCCTTACCTTTGGCTGAGGGAGACTGCATCAAATAAGAAACAGATGCTGCCCCTGCACTTTGTCCAAATATCGTCACTGCGTTGGGGTTCCCTCCGAAATTATGTATGTTATTCTGCACCCACTTCAGTGCAAGAACCTTCAATTAAGTTGTCATTGATCAACGGAAAATGATGTTTAGGCTAATGTTTGCAAGTTAAAAAAAACAAAAAAGTGAAATAGCTAATTTTTGAATTTGTATAGCCATTTTCATTTCTCAGATTCTGATTTAGTATCATTAATGATTTTCGACAGTTTATGCGCATCAGTAATAATATTGCTTTGATGGTTTGTTATCACTTTTCTTAAGCAAATGAAGGGTACCGGGAAAAACGGCATTAGTCCATTATTTGGCTAAATTGAGCTTCCAGTTTATTTTGGTGGCATTTTCCAGGTAGCTATCCAAGGGCTTAGGTTCACAAAATAACAGCTATGAGATTTCCTGTGCCGGGGAAGAATGGCATGAGTCCCTGCGCGGAAGTATCACGATGGATTACCAAAAAAACTTGCCCTGTCCAATTATCACGACAAATGATGTTTACTATAAGCGGCAACTAAATCTCATCAGTCTTAACATCCACATTCTGCAAAACTCAACTTCTATCTTTTATACCCACGATGAATCTTATTGCTAAGAAAGGAGCTGACGATGTCTGTTCTATGCTGTATCACTTTTTTATAACATCCTGCCTATGGAAGTAAAAGAACATGCCATTTTCTGTGACTCCTGTGTAGGGCAAAATAAAAACTTTACAGTTATTTGGTTTTTGCATTACTTGGTTACAAAGTAAAATCGTTTTAGAAGAAATATTTCCGATCAGGGAGCATTCATACGTCGAGTGTGATAGAGATATGAGTCTCGTGAACTGAGGTACCGGATGACTGGAGAGATGAATTGAAAAATTGCCGTGTGAAAGGCTACACCATTTGAAGTCAGTGATTGTGTCAAAAATTTTGATTTCAAGATTGGAGTACGTTTTTATCGCCATTTTATCCAACGAAGTGCCCCGACCAGTCAGGATGCTCAAGTTTTGTAAACAGAATCCTCGCGTAGTTTTTCACAAATCGACATACATCGGCCTATATGCTAACTCTAAATTTGATAAGGTAATTCGGAAGAATCGAAAAAAGACGCAAACATATCAACCAAAACGAGAAGAGGGAACATTGAGAAAACTTTATCAGAGCCCAATCCCAATTAAAAGTAAGAAATGGAAGCATCTGCAGGATCTGACCAAATTTATAGAGAGAGCAGATTCCAGGGCATTTTATCAACAGTTAATATCTCTTGATCATCCAGAAGACAGCAGTGAGGAATATGTCGATGACCCACCAATACCCGCATAAAGCAGGGAAAAGTGGCACGAGTCCAGAGTTGAACATCATCTTTTGTTTGTTACGTTACTAGTTTTGAGTAAAAGTTCATTTTCTATAATCTATTTTACCAATAAATACACTGTTTAGCAAAGATATTCTTTACGACTTATTTTTTCATCAATTTGATGTTCCAACAAGTAAGTTAACCTTAATTACCGATTTTCCCAAAATCAGTCTGGATTGTCGTTATTCCCCGGTACCCGTTAAATCTTTTCAGAGAACAACGTAGTACCTGATCCTTCAGCCCATTATTTCCTGGTGCAACGAGATCCTCAGTACTTAGGAATCCAAATATGCCTAGTCGGTAGTTGAACATAACGAAAACTACATTTTCGTCAAGGAAGAGATCTGGTGGTTGAGCAGCATAACTAGAATTTCCTCCGCTGAATCCTCCTCCGTGTATGAAAACCACTACTGGTATATTATCTTGCTTCAACTGGAAGGAACAATATTTCCATCTTTTTTAAAATGCACGTCATCGCATTTAAAACTGGTTAGTTTGTTAGTCGGAAGTGATAGATAGCATTTCCCTCAAAACTTTCATTCAATTTACCGATAACGCTTTCGGAACTTGAAGTATATTTAGCATATCTATGCCGTCGTCCTGAATTTTGTACTTTGGATTTGTTATTGAAAAATTCATGTTCCGGAAGTGATTATCCTTGTTTCTGGTTGGTATTTCCTTCCTTAGGGCAGTGTTATCGAGCAATAATAAATTTACAAATGAATTTTTGAAACTACTTTACTGCTGCAAATAGACGAATTCTTTTATTTGCGTTTCTTTTACTGCCATAAAACACTAACTGTAACTTATGTACCAGCAAACACGTGTCTGCAAACTCGTTTCAATATCACTAACACGACGTTATCATAGCCAAGAGCCCATTACTATTATTTATTAGTATTAGCTCTTTACACATTTGACGTTTTTAATTTAGCACATTTCTACTCAATATCCAAAACTATTTTAGTCTTTGGCACCAGCTTTTACCTGATACCTGAGTGGAAGAAACATCAAATTCATGATACTGCTCTCTTATATCTGTTTTACATTAACAATTTATTCAGATGGATACTTCAAGGTCATCCTGATTATGTTTTGCAACACATTTACAGATTACCTGATGATACACGGTGGTACCAGCCACACAACCAACCCTTGTTTGAAACTTTTCGGGTTTCTATGTGTATTGTGGTTTTGATCTTGATGCGAATCTCATAATCAGAAACCATATTGTTGCATACTGAAGTACTATGGAGCTTGGCGTTCAACAAAAATTAGAACAAGTTCTAATACTGGTAGCGTTTATAAATCGATGAAGTTCATTAATTCATTTGACGTCAAATTTCTGTTTCATACAAATTTGGCCATGAACTCAGTTCATGTATAAATACATGGACGTATTGTGAATGTAACCCGGGTATTAAGCTGTGGCTGCTTTTGCCAAGCTTTTGAAATAAGCATCATGCTTCCACCGCACGACTGTTTCTAATCGATAGGTTGTACATACAGGGTGTTCCTTAATGATATGCAAATATTTAAGGGTGTGAATCTACATGACAAATTAATGTTAGTTTGCTTTATAAACTATGGTTCAAAAATGTTTCCTTACAAAAACTCGGAGTGTTGAAGTGTTAGGAAAAAAAATGGAAATTCATTTTTATTTTCAGAACCGCTTCAGATATTTTACTGATACTTAGTACGTAGTGAAAGTTAATGAAGTTGCATATTTTTCAATGCAAAAATAATTTCGACATTTTTTAAGAAAAAAATGGTACGCCAATAATTTTTTGTCAAATAAAAATAATTTTTGAATTCCCCGTTCAATTTATAACAAATTATCTCTCTTGAATTGTTTTCTTTCGATGCGCCATTTTTTAATAAAAAAATAAAAACCGTTCTTTTGTCCGAAAAAATTAATGTAATAATTGAAGAATGCAATTTAGCAATAAATATCTAGTTGCTCTGGAATATGTCACTGGCTTTTGACATCTGACAACTCACTGTTATTCAAACCTGTTCGCTGTGACATTTTTTCATTGTTTAGTTTTTACAAACTTGTTAATAATGGTGAATTATTCAAATGCAGAAATCTCGGAAATGCATTACGTATATGGCCTTGCCGACGGAAATGGTGAGGAAGCCAGACGGATTTATCACCAGAGATATCCCGATCGTGCTTTGCCAGATAGTCGAACCTTTTCTAATATTCATCGTGGTCTTGTTGAAACTGGTCCTTTCCGAAAAGGAACATCTGAAAGTAGGGCTCTAAGTGTGAGAACATCTGAAATTGAGGAAACAGTGCTGCACGAAGTCGAAGAACATCCTGAAATGAGTACGAGGAAGATCGCTAGATACTTAAATATTTGCCATCAAATTGCTTGGAGAATTTTAGTGGATTTTTTGTTATATCCTTACCATATTTTAAGAGTACAGGCATTACTTCCCGTTGCTTTTCCAAGGCGTGTGAACTTTTGTCAGTGGTAACTTAAAAAAATTACACAAAATCCGCAATTTGAATCAATGATTCTGTTCACGGACGAAGCTAATTTTTCTCGAAATGCCATTCAGAATTTCCACAATAATCATTTGTGGGCAGAAGAAAATACCTAACCTATGGGCAGAAATTATTGGCAACCACTTTATTGGCCCATTCTTCTTGCCGGGACGACTTGACGGACAGACTTACCTCAATTTTCTTCAGCAACAGTTGCCTTTGCTGCTTGATAATGTTCCGTTAGTGATAAGAAACAATAAGTGGTACATGCATGATGGTGCACCCGCGCATTAAAGTGTAGCGCTTCGTAACTGTTTATACAAATCGTTGGATTGGCCGCGGTGGGCCCCAAGAATGGCCACCAAGGTGCCCAGACCTCAACAGTTTAGATTCCTTTTTGTGGAGCTATCTTAAGACACTAGTGTACACAAGGCCCATTAACACTGTAGAGGAATTAAGAGAAAGAATAGTTGCAGCTTGTGATAGAATAAAAAACACTACAGAGATATTTCAACGAGTGCGCAATTCCATGAGAAGGAGGGCGGAAGCATGTATACTACGTAAAGGGGACCATTTTCAACAATTTTTGTAATCATTTCGTTATTTTTATGTCATCTTTATGTTGTCAGTTGTTGTTCATTACCCTTAATGTTTTTAATTTTTCCAATGGCGCATCGAAGGAAAAGAATTCAAGGGAGATGATTTGTTCCGAATTGAACGGGGAATTCAAAAATAATTTTTATTTGGCCAAAAACCATTGGCGTACTTTTTTTTCTTAAAAAATATCGAAGTTAATACCCGTACGCATGCTACTGTTAAAGCTAAAAATTATTTTTGCAATGAAAAATATGCAACTTTATTGACTTTCACTACGTACTGAATATCAGTGAAATATCTGAAAATATTAATTATTTCCATTTTTTTCTTAAACTTCAACATCCCGAGTTTTTGTAAGGAAACATTTTTGGACCATAGTTTACAAAACAAACTAATATTAATTTTTCAAGTAGATTCACACCCTTAAATATTCGCATATCATTAAGGAACACCCTGTATACATAGGTACGAATGCGGATGTACGACACTGATATTATGACTAGATATGAAAACTTAGTGTAACGCTACTCACCAAAATGCTGCAAGCAGCGATTGAGAGATTTTAATACTACCGAGAAATCTGATACGTGCATAGAATTACCGGGGTTGGAAAAGTATGAAGATAATAACATAAAAATTGCGATACACCTTTCTCCACGCCCTTACAAATCTTCACCTTCCAATTTTTTACCCTGAACAGTTTTTCAGATATAATCAGGATACTCTAAGGCTCCAAAAAAGAAGTTTGAGTGGTTTTCATTTTTTTTTGTTTTTGGGATTTTTTCCTGTCGCCACAAGATCGATTCACAAAAACTACAAACCCAAATCCAAACTACTTTCAGAAATATAGATGATCGAAGGATTAGCGGACAGACAGACCCACAGACCGACAAGACAGACCGCTATACAGACCAACGGAAATGTGGACATGGTTTCTCGTGATGTACATGTCATAGGACATTAAAAAAATATAGTATTACATTTTCGAAATTTTCCACGATTACACAACTTCCTACCATTATCTAGTTAAACGGATACAGTTTTTACAAAAACTGTTCAAAATTGTCGCCATTTGCTTGATTAAAGAAAAATCTTGCTCGGCGATTAAATCACAAGCATTTTCAATGCGCTGTTGAAGTATTTACTGCTCCGTCATGATAGACCAACTCTTTCAAATAGCCCCACAGAAAAAAAATCACAAGGCGTTAAATCTGGGGAGTGAGCAGGTCAAGAAATGGGTCCATTGCGCCCTATCCATCTACTAGGAAACTCATTCTTTAGAAGTTCATGAGCTTGTCGTCTAAAATGCGGTGGAGCCTCATCATATAGGAACCACATATTCTATTTCACATTTAGAGTAACATCTTCTACTAATTGTGGCAGATTTTGTAGGGTTCGATAAGCATGCTATTAACCACGCCATATCAAACATTTCATGAAACATCTATGTTGAAAATGAGTTCTTTTTACAGCATACGGATTTTCTACTGCCCAAACATGATTGTTGTGGAAAATGTGCACTCCATTTCGTGTAAATGTGGCCTCGTCTGTACACAAAACTACTGGCAAAATGCAACTCTTCTAGGATGATCTTCAAGTACTTGTACTCGCTGATAATGATAATGATAATACTGTTCTTGTTGTATTGTCTTGCACTCTTTACTAAAAGAAACTTCAACTTGAGCTGCTATGGCTCTAGTACTCATTGTTGGGTCGTCTTCGACCATTTCTAAAATGCCTCCCTCAATTTGTAACATTTCAGGTTGAGCAGGTGACCTTCTCGTTGTTCCTTTAAATATCCTGTGTCACGAAGTCGCGAATTCCAATAACCGAATTTACAAACATCCGTGGGCCGGATGATTTCTCACAGAAAAACCTTTCCGCACACTACCAGCGGCAGCATTTTGTTCGCACTCGTATGTTAGTATGATGTCCACTAGTTCATTGTTTTCGTAAACGTGGGCCATTTCTTTGCACTTAATAATCAGACAAATGCAAGCACATGCACTATTAAAGGACTGATACAACGGACCAAAGACTCGTACTAAAAACCATACCAAAAAACGATGAGATTTTACAAGCAAGTGGTCGAGAATATAATGTTTTTTTTAATGTTCTACCATTTCTTTTATTATGCAACTTTTATTTAGTCGATTTTCAATCAACTTTTTTTAACGAGCGGTACAAGCAATTAAAATAAATGACTCAACTTTAAAAGATTTCTTTCACATTTTTTTTTGTTGCTTTGATAGAAGCTGTAGTTTCGACCATTTCTTCAATTGTTGTGTTAATTTTGCAAAATCCTTGCGACGATTTGGTGTGATGTCGACTTACCGAAGGAGTATAAACATTGATGAAGAGGCAGTCTTCAGAACCAAGAACCGGATTTATACTTTGAACACATTGGCTACCTTCCTTGGTTGCATCCAATGTTCCGTTCCATTTCGATTTTGCCGTGGGGGGCTGAAATATGAAATTAATTATAAGCCTAATGTCAATAATTCATAACTGGAAAAATTATAATACATATACTAAGTGACATATAAATCCGAACACCCAGTTTAAATGGTTTTACTTTAATAAAATTTTGTATAAGTACTTAATGAAGCATAATAAGTAAATGATAAAAATTTCAAAATGATTGCACTGCTTTAAAGCCCTTTGACCTTTAATAATGTGTGGATGCACCCTGATGTGCTACGCATTCTCCAACGCGCCTAGGCATGCTTCTGATCAGGTGGTCAATGTCCTCCTGTGGTATCTCATTCCAGGCAACCACCAACTCCTCTCGAAGTGCTTCTAGAGTCTGAGGAGGACGTTGCAAATTGAGCAATCTCCTACCCATCATATCCCACACGCGCTCAATTTGGGATAAGTCGGGAGATCTTGGTGGCCATGGTAACAATGTGACATCATTATGTTGAAAGAAGTCTATTGTGACTCTTGCAACATGTGGTCGGGCATTATCTTGTTGGAAAGTTGGATCTGCCAGGGTGTCAAGATAGGGTAAAAGATGGGGTTCTAGAACTTCGTGGATATAACGCTGCGCGTTCATGTTACCTCTGAAGAAGATTAAAGGTGACCTGGAACCATAAGCTATAGCACCCCAAACCATAACTCCAACAGTGTGATGAACACGTCTTTCAACAAAAAAACTGTGGATTCCTCCTTTCACCACGTCGCCTTCTAACCCTTACACCGACGTAATCGCCTTGAGTGGTGCACACAACGATCACTCTGGGATCAGGAATGGAACAGTATTGTCTTTAGTGACGAGTCTCGATTTTGTTTAGGCATGCACGATGGTCGTGCCAGGGTTAGAAGGCGACGTGGTGAAAGGAGGAATCCACAGTTTTTTGTTGAAAGACATGTTCATCACACTGTTGGTGTTATGGTTTGGGGTGCTATAGTTTATGGTTTCAGGTTGTAACGATTTCACCGTCCGATTGTATTTATTAAATCATTTCTCGATTTTCATTTCAGAATCGCAACTAATTAATTCCATCTCTAGCTTATCCCATCTCTAGCTTTTTACTTGGAGACATTTCCGCTTGGAGCGCGCTTGATGCGGAGTTCCTGATCTGTGATCTTCCTCGCGCTTCCTTTTCACTTGAGCCGCCGATCTAACAAGAGCTAAGAATTTTATTCTCTGTAGCATGAGGTCATATAGCGCCATGTGCTAGCGGTTTGTAGAATGTGTGTCCGAATAGGACAAAATGATTGGGGCCACCCCCTTTCCCTTTCCCTTTGCCTTTATCTTTGACTTTTGCCTTTGTCTTTGACTTTGCTTTTGCCTTTGTCTTTGACTTTGCATTGCTTGGCCTATCACTTCACCCATGCATGTGCCTTGGCAGCGCCATCACCTTTAAGTTCAACTTCGCCTACAACTAGTTTTGAAGCCACTAAATGTGAGGCCACCCCTCATAACTGGGACCTCCACTTCAAGCATCTGGCCATCCTCGCTTCAGTCCAGTCAAAATGGACCAGCTTAGCAAAAGATAAGTGTATAGTTTTATAGCAGCGCCAAAGATTTAAAACTTATTTTGTTCTTTAAAATTTCAATTTCAAATGTAATGAAAATGCTTTTTTGTTAAATAAAATCTGTTAAATTTTTGTGTTCTGTTTGTTCTTCTATCCTCTAGCCATGCCATGGTCGACACACAGCTACACGCCTGTAGATGTCTTCATGCCACCGACTGAGCTACCGGAAGCTAATGGTAACCCCTTTTCTGTGATTGTGCAGAAAAGTTGGAATCTTCATTGCATTCCATCTTTTCTGGTCTTTTTGCGGAAAGGAAGGCTTACAAGGTCACCTTTAATCTTCATCAGAGGTAACATGAAGGCGCAGCGTTATATCCTCGAAGTTCTAGAACCCCATCTTTTACCCTATCTTGACACCCTGGCAGATCCAACTTTCCAACAAGACAATGCCCGACCACATGTTGCAAGAGTCACAATACACTTCTTTCAACATAATGATGTTACATTATTACCATGGCCACCAAGATCTCCCGACTTATCCCCAATTGAGCACGTGTGGGATATGATGGGTAGGAGATTGCTCAATTTGCAACGTCCTCCTCAGACTCTAGAAGCACTTCGAGAGGAGTTGGTGGTTGCCTGGAATGAGATACCACAGGAGGACATTGACCTCCTGATCAGAAGCATACCTAAGCGCGTTGGAGAATGCGTAGCACATCAGGGTGCATCCACACATTATTAAAGGTCAAAGGGCTTTAAAGCAGTGCAGTCATTCTGAAATTTTTATCATTTACTTATTATGCTTCATTAAGTACTTATACAAAATTTTATTAAAATAAAGCCATTTAAACTGGGTGTTTGGATTTATATGTCACTTAGTATATAACATCTGAAACTTATACTGTGTTTTACATATCGATAATCCCCATGTTTGCCTGCCAGTGAAGCCACATGTATTGACAGAATGTTGTTTACTACAAACTTTTCAACCTTCCTGGAAGACAGATAAGTAACATGTATTATCATTGTACTAAAGAAGATCACCTAACCTTCGTGATTGATACGTTTACAGAAAAGGAGGTTCTGCAAAACATGTGGCCATGGATGATTCTAATGCTTATTAGAAAAAACTTCAAAACTAGTTTCTACACCAGAAATTAAACCTTTCTACTCAAAGAGTATTTTAACTACTCGATTGTTCAAGTGCCATGATGAGAATTAATAATTCATTATCCACCAAACTAAAAGTCGATATTCCTAATTTATCCATTATGGAATGTGTCTGACATTCATTTAGTTTATGTGTTATTATGCTTGTGCTAAATTACCAGATGATATTGAACAAATGGCTAGAGATTTTCATACGTATCTACAATACAGTTTTAAAGGACAAACTGAATTTGCAGAATTTCAGGAGTTTGTAGCAGTAAAACCTCATAAAATTTTACAACCCTCTCAACAATTATCCACCAAACTAAAAGTCGATATTCCTAATTTATTCATTATGGAATGTGTCTGACATTCATTTAGTTTATGTGTTATTATGCTTGTGCTAAATTACCAGATGATATTGAACAAATGGCTAGAGATGTTCATACGTATCTACAATACAGTTTTAAAGGACAAACTGAATTTGCAGAATTTCAGGAGTTTGTAGCAGTAAAACCTCATAAAATTTTACAACCCTCTCAACAAACTTTGCGCTGCCATTTTTTGTGGAATTAAATTTAGAAATGCAATACGAAAATATTAAAATACACATTTTATATAAACGAGTTGAACATGTATTAATAACAATTTTGAATTGTTACATGAAAAAGCATCATTTAGATAAAACTTTGAAAAAGTAGAATATAAAAATCCTCATAATTTTGTGGAAATAGAAAACATTTATTTAGGTGTCTACGTAACAGGTGCTATAAGTAATAATGAACATAAACTAAATGATGCAGAATCAGAAAGAGGTGTTTACATTTCTTAATAGAAAGTTGTTTTCAAATTTATAAAAAATTTGATAATAAAAGCAAAACTGTCGCTACCCTAAAACATATGTAACCTATATCACCAGATGAAGTAATTGCAAAAAAACAAGCATCATTAGGGCCTTTAGTTTTCCATTTTCCCAACTTGACAACTGATAACGTAAATGAAATAGACAAAGACTGGCGTTGACTACGAAATCTTGATTTAAGTGAATATACAAATTTAAGCCTTCAAGAATTTTGGGAAAAAATTTCAACATCAAAGTTTTGTTGAAAAATGACAGTTGCTACAACTTTAGCATCCCTAATGATTTTTTTAAAAGAATGGATTCGTCAATGTACAAGAAAACTCAAAATTAAATTATAATACCTAATTTTCATTATTTTGTTATATTGTTTTCTTAAAAACAAAATATTTTATTTTACGCTATGTTCGTTTGTTCGCTATTTATACAGTATAATCTTTTTTTAAATTTTTTATAATATACGTACTTAAGTTATTTTGTATTTTAGTTTGTATTATATATTTTAAGAAATACCTGTTACGTTAATTAAATATATATCCTTTAATTTAATTAATAAATAAATAATAATAAATTAATTTAATAATTTAATTTCTTTGGGTAGAAGGCAAATATGTTGTATAACTTAAACTCTCAAGCTTTCGAATATATATATGCCTTCATCGTCTGGAGCTGGAAACAATTATTGACAATAGCAACAATTTGTTAAGGCAATTAACTATGAATACTATATATATACAATTAATTGTTAATTGGGAAATTGGCAAACTTTTAGGCTTAGGTTGACTCTTTTGAGGATAAAATCAAGCTTTCAGCATTCTCTATGGAGCCTTCATCAGGATTCTGAAAACACAGTTGTGATGCTAGCAACCAATACAGGACCGACTTAAATTGTCAAATCACTTACTCGTCGTGGAGGTTGCAGCCAACAGGTGTTTCAAAATAAACGTTGAGATGATAGAACTTGTTACAAATATAAAAACAATAGGATGGAGACATTGGGCTTTTGATAACGACAGATACCTTCGTTATATGTTAAAAATATCAATACACCCGAACATAGAAAAACCTGACCACTTTATCACTTGTTGTTCAAGGCAAGATAAATGGATATGCCAAACATTATTATGTTAAAAATTCTTGATTTCTAATAAACATACGTAGGTGTTCACCTTTTTTGTCACTGAGTATATTTTTGTACTTACCTCAAACCGCCGATTGCCTACTGGTGGCTCAGCATAAGGAATACGTCTAAAGGAATAGTAGGGATTGCCCTTATAGGCAGTCTTCTGAGATAGGCCCTTAATTTTTCCATTGGATAGCGTCACTGTTGGATTATTCTAAATAAAATGGAATTATTCAGACGCTGCCAAAAAGCTGATGCAACATTGAACTTCTTTTCATTAAATGTCATTAATATGTCCGGTACCAGCGAAAAGAATTGCTAAGAGATGAATAAACCGATAGTTAGTAAAATCTTGACACTAATTTGAAAAATTTGAGTTGTGCTTAACTGCCTAGATTTTCTTTGGATTATGAACTCTCAAAGTTAGTTTTAGTAAATTTTGTATCAAAGTAGGTGCTGCGGTTACTGAGACCAACGCACAATCGATAAAGTAATAACATACAAACAGGCATATACAGGGTGACTTCGAAGTTGAGTCATTTATTTTAACAGTGAGTAGATCTGATCAAAAGAAATGTTTTTTTCCTTTACCATTTTCCTGGTAAAATTAAAGTAACAAAGTTATAGCCCTTTGGAAGTTTGAGTACCGCCCTGTCTCAATAACAATATTATGTGGTCGTGTTTGGCGACAATGGATATAATCCGCCGTATCGGTTCATCGCATCGGAAACAAAAAAGCGAAAGAATTTGGAACGATGTTTTTACAAGTATCTCATTCATTTGTATACAGTTAGTGTCAGTGAATAGTGGTATGTGTTGCGTGGCTCAAACGAAATAAAAAATGGCACATGTTTATGCGGATCGGTTTCCCAATCGAGTGCAACCAACCCCTCGTGCCTTTGTTAATGTAGTACAACGGGCTTGTGAATCAGGTGACTTAAGACCTCACAGGGGACCTCACGATCAAATACAGGTCCGCACTGAAATACTTGTCGGGAGGATACTTTATAAAACAAGGTAAAAATTTTTTTTTATTTTTTTTTTATTTTTACACACATATTTTGGTTTATCTTCCTTCTACAATCATTATCTGAAAATTAATGACTCAACTTCAAAGTCACCCTGTAGACTCGACTGACGTAGATTTTCTGGATAAGACGTCCAAAAACGTATTATTTGAAATTCGAGAATTTTGAGAACACAGTTATTTCACCGAATATTTGTATGAGATATCTTAAATAGTCTCAAGGTCGCCAACATCTACTTGGAAGTTCAGACATTCCATTTCTATTTACAATAATCAGTAAACAATACCTACAGAGGTCATTAATCGATATGTGATATCAAGATCTGTGATAAAGGAAGTGGGAATTTGCACAAAGATAGGTCAAATTATGATATTTCATTAATTTGATTATAATTAATGGTTATCAAAGTAACACTCATATCTCAACATAAACAAAGCATCACATATGAAGTGGATATAATGCTTGGGAGCCTATTTTCAGAACATACGTTGAAATACCGGCTGCGTATGTCATGATTGCTGATCTGGAATAAATAATGACTGACTGCGCAAAAAAATTGTCCGCCAACCTTTTCCTACATTTTGACGTTAATCGAAAATTCCATAAGATTTAGAAATCAGTCTATTGGTTTTCGCTGTGTAGCATCTTACGGGAAGTCAAGTTATTCATTTCTGTTGGTCCAGCTGTCCAGAAATTCCTAGCCCGTCTGTTTTTTGGAAGGTACTGTTGATGGAATTATGACACAATTATAGCAAGAAAATGCTCCATGTGGTTTGGATATCGGTCCGGTGATTTTATGAGCGAAAAAAAAAGGTTAAAAACGTTCACTAACTTCGTTTGATGCTCTTCTGTGCGCATTTAGGGACATATTAAGTCAGTTACAACTAGAAAATTAATCAATCTTCTTACAATGAAAACAGTGACTTTGAAGAGGAGACGATGTTTGAACGGTCCAGATAGTTTTTGTGTTACTTCTGGATATTAATCTATATAGTAGGTCGATGACGAATTTTGACAAATTTGCGTACTTTGAAGTGAACATTTGGAATTCACAAAAGCCATTGGTGCCAAAATACTGAAATACAGCAGGATTTGGCGGCAACCTCTGAAACATCATGATCGCCGTTATCTTTATGTCGTAAAAACTACCGCTATAAGTTGTGCAACCCAGGATAAGTGTTGTTATCTGATATTCTGTTTTGAACGTGAACGCTGGAGGAGAAAAACATTATTCTGACCCTGACTGGTGGACTGAGCAACGAAAAGTTGGAGTTTTTCTAATTAGGAAGCTGACGAAAGACCCAAGTTTTTTTGAATCCACGAACGAACACGCACTGGGAAATGAGCGAACTAATTAAAATTCTCAGACTCTATCAAGCACTTGTGCTTTGACAGAGAATTGGTTGGGAAACCAATTTATATAATTTTATCGACTACATTCAGAAATGTTTCCCCCCACTCGCCTGTTTTTGTATCTGTAACGATTTGTTAACTCTTCAAGATCATTACTAATTAACGTTTAGCTACGAATATATGCATACTCATAAGTAAATAGTAAAGAGCCGCCATTACAGAGTCCAAATTACGAATGACTTAATTTGGAACAAACACATCTCGTCAATTGCGGCAGCTGCTGAGAAAAAGATGGGCTGTTTGTTTAGGTCTAAGAAGTACAAAACACATAACATCTAGCCTCGAGTACTGTTCACATATTTGGGGTGCTTCCTTTCCGACGACATTATCCATTCTCAATGCTGTTCCCAAGAGGACTGTCCGACTGGTCGATGACTCTTCGTTAACAGACTTTACTCCTCAGAGCTCTCCTCTGTGATGTTGCTGCGTAATGTGCCTGCCAGGCAGACCCGCCTGACCTCGGCCTTTCGTCTCAACTATGTCCATAGGGTATCGTATTTTGGAACAATCTGCTCGAGAAGGCTCTTTCTAGTTCTAATCACCTTTGAAGGTTCAGAAATAAGATTAAAAAAGCTTATTCAAGACCTTAATAGTAGCGACGGTCCCTGGTACTTAGGCTTTTGCCTGTGCTGCTGCATCCGTATAATAATTATTGATTATCGAAATTATGGGTTATGCCATTCAAGAAAATGTTCCCAACAAAGCACCGATGTGCATATCCATTAAGCATTAAAATGAAAAAGGAATGAAAAAACATTTGTTTTTACATTACGATGCCAAAATATTATTAAAATACTGGATTTATTTATCCTCCTAGTTGTATTTATTCACCTTATTTCACTTCATAAACATTTCAATCAACCAACAAGCATTCAATCAAGACTCAAAACTATATTAAAAGTTTTACTAATTAGTTTCGCACCTCAATTCCAACTATCCAATAGAGGAACGTGAAAAGCTAACTTGGACATTCCTCGTTTCGATAGAATAACGATGCTGTCACAGTGAGTGATTAGTAAGTTTGTAGTGAGCAACAGCAGTACCGTAAGTATGTGTGTGAAAAACGGGCTTTTGTAACGTGCATGCATATTAAAAGCCAGAGTTTCTGGAAAAAAATAGTGTTATTGTCGTAACCGAAATAGTTAATTTGGCGGAAAACAAAATTACATTGTATTATTTTTCAGTGTTGATCGTTGCATTTTTTGTGCATAGAGATCATTAAGATCGTATTTAATCTTTTTCAACTTTTTAGTCATTGAAGGGAGTCTAAAGAATTTGAAGACATTTCTCATGCTTTTTAACCCATCTTAAACGGCGCTCGGGATTTCCGTTCACCGAAAATTTCAGTTAAGTTCACACCACTACATGGTCAATACAAAACTTGTTAATTACTTTTTAATGATGATTTGTTTACTCTCCTGCCACTGAACAGGTTTTTATAAACTATAAAGTGTAGCCAAAATGATTAGTTCTGCTTTATATGCAGACGTACGTTCAATTATTGTCATAGACCAAATGAGGTGTGGGGGACAACAGTCGCATCTAGTCGTTCTAGAGGTAAAGCAAGCTGAGTAACTTCCAAATAACTTACATTTTGACACTGAACCACTGAAAGACCTAATAGTAGTACCCATGGAATATGAATGAAAAACATTGCACAATTGAATAACAATAGAGTAGCGGTTCGGCTGGATTCCTTTTCATTTGTATTTATGCATTATATTTTATCAGCTTTGCAGAGCCGTATTCCATGAATTTGTAGGATTTTTCAAGGAATTTTTATAGCCTCATCCAGCAGAAATCTAGAGGGGACGTTGGTGGATCCCAAGGAGACTAAGTAGGTAAATATGCATATTATATATATATATAACTTGAGACGTGGTCATTGTCGTCTAGACCAGTTAGGTGAAAAATTAAAGCTTCCGCCTTTTGTTGGGTACTGCTTAATTTTTTCGAAGTACCCAACAAAAGGCGGAAGCTTTAATTTTTCACCTATATATATATATATATACCAAGGTACAATTTTTGAAAACATGATCAAATGTCCTTATTTAGCTTCAGGAATCTTTTACCCTACTTTCTGAATTTAAAGGAAAGACTCATATATCAAAATCAAGTTTTCCCAATTTTTTGATATCAAAGACTTGTCAGAGCACAGTTATAATATATATATCATCCAGTAAAATGCGATTCGTGCTTTAAAAATTCAAATATTATACAAATATCCTTTTAAGTTTAAATAAAATGTTTCATTAATTTTAGTGTATGTAATAATAGTTCATTAATCTAAAATAAATTGGTGCACTTAATCTAACTAAACGGTTTATTGAAATCAATCAGACGATTTCGTTATGATATAATTAAGCTAGTTTCATACATTTAAGTAAACTGCTTTGGAAATGGGAATTTAAGTCTGTAAACTTGTTGCTGACATGGTAGAATTATTGCTTTTAATTGGCCTTATTAAAATTTTGGTCGGCTTTATTAATTTTTTTTTCAATGTAGAAAGGATTCTCGAATTAATAGGATAGTTGGGCAGTCGCAAAGCAAGTACTACACTGACTCATTTTCCTGTTCACATCCTCTACATAAGGATATTTCACCTAGTCTCCCCAAAACCCAAGTTGCTGTCTGGACGTGGATTTTTTTAGCGAATGAGCATCCTGTCGTATCGTCCTGATAGGTAGGATGCATAGGGGCCTATTGAGTTATTTTATAGTCCTCGCTTGGAAGACCCTGAATATTTATAAGACTTAGAATTTGCACCTGTCACAGTCATTTTGTGGCACATGCGATCCCGGACAAGTGACTAACATATTTTTCATCAGATTTCGTTTCCACCAAGACTTCTTCGCACTACTTACCTTGATTTCAGATAGAAGCATACCAGCTTCGGTGTAAAGAAAGAGAGTAAGAGTATATCCGCCTGGTTCTAATTTTGCTGTAGGTATTACCAAGCTTGTTGTGTGTGTTTTCCATCATTTCCTTGCCATGTATCAAGTATCAATTAAAGACTTTGGTGCTAAAAGGTGTTAAAAGAGTGCTTCTTTGGCAGTACATCTATCCGGCCAAAGATGGCTCTCAGATTTTAGATACAAAGATTCATAAAAGTGTTAACTATATCAAAAACTTCAATCTGTAAACTTGCATTATAGGTAAAAAGGTGTTAACTCTTTGTTGTTAACACCCTTTTGCACTCAAATTTCAATTTCTTCACGTTTGAACACGTTTCATTTCGTTTTGTTTTTCCGATTTTTACAACATTTGGACTGCTTTTTCAAATGGATACGGTATGTGAAGTTTCAGTATTTAGCCTGTAAGATTATATAACAAAATGAATTCAGTTTTTGTTAAAAACGTAAAAATGAGTTTTTTAAAATTGCAAAGCACATAATCTCAAATTTCTGATAAAAACAACTTTTTAACAAAACTGTATATTCAATATAGTTTTATATGTCTAAAATAACCTTCAATAATAAAAGCAGCCCTAACACTATTCAATAAAAAATGTCAGGACTTAAACTTTGAGGCCAATTATCTACAAACTATAAAATCTGAGTTAACACCTTTGTGCACCAAAGGCTTCAATTATTTTATATTCTCTTGGTTCCATTGTGTAAATATTCTCTAACTAAACATGTGTGCACATGGAAACTTTTTAACCTAAATCCGGACCTGCAAACTTCCTCCACTTAAAAATGGGAATTATGCATAAATAAACAGTATCTTAGATAGTTAAGTAGGTGTATTCATAACATATGGAATCCGAGGAAAGATAACCATTTAAGATTTATTACCTATTTTCATGTCATTTTCTATCAAAAAATGTCATGTCGTCATGTTACCCCATCAACTTATGGAGACTGTTTAATAATTGCTTTTTGAAGCATTTGTTGGGCACACTGCATACAATTCTTCTAGAAACCGCCAAACAGTCGAAACAGACAGCTTCTAAACCTCTTAAGGGCACAACCATTGCGGGGAAGAGAAACCCTGCGCCAATAATAATAATAATATTTATTCGCCAAAATACAAAAAATGGGCAAATAAATATGAAAAAACCACAGAAGGCATCGCCTGTGTGTGGTTTATATCTTAATAACTAACAATCAATCATATATGTGTATAACAATTATTGTTAAATCTAAAAGGTATTAATGTAATTGGAATTTTGTAGTTTTAGTTTTCTATATAATTATGTATAGTCATTCGCTGCACATTAGTTTCAATTTTCTTCTAAATTTTTTTCCAAAATTAAGTATCTTTATTTCGTTTGGTACTACATTATATAATTTAGCTGCTAAGAATTTAAATGATTTTTTGAATAATGTTTTGTGTGGTCTTTGGATATTAGATGAGCCTATTCGAAATCGTGTGTTATGCTCGTGTTTATAGGATTTTTTCTTTTTATTACAATACTTATGGTATAAGGTGGTGGCATGTAAGAAATAAAGTTGTCTTGTATCAAGTATCCCTGTTTCTTGATATAAGTTGTTCGTTGGATATAATCTTGGCTTATGGAAAATGGCTTTCAAAACAGTTTTTTGTGCTATATTCAGGTCAGAAATATATGTCTTGCAGGCGGCACCCCAGGCTGTGATGCCGTATATTATATGGGTTTCAACTAAGGCATGGTATAGGATTCGCAGATAACTTTCTGTAAGAATGTTAGCAAGCATTTTGAGTTTATAGGCAACATTTCTAATTTTTCTGATAACATATTTAATATGGTTTTCCCACCTGAGATGTGAGTCTATAAATATTCCAAGATATTTAAGTGTTAACTCTATCGATTTTGGTCTTTTGGTCATGATAATTAACGGAAATTTGTTCGAAGGTAGGTAAAAATTTTGAATAGGATGTAAATGCAATAAATTTTGTTTTTTTGAAGTTAACTGTTAAAATTTTAGTATCAAACCAGTCAATAATCCTTATAAAATCCTTTTCAGCTATTTGTTTCAGTGTGCGCCAGTCATCAGCTTTATATAATACGAGGGTGTCATCTGCAAAACATGTAATCTTTCCAGAACTGTTAATTTTGAATAAGTCATTTAAGTAGAGACTAAATAATAGTGGGCCTAGTACTGTTCCTTGAGGCACACCACACTTGATGTACATTTTTTTACTGTAAGTGTTAGTGATTTTGACAGTCTGTGCCCGACTTGAAAGGTAATTTTTTAAAAGGATTTGTGACGCTCCCCTAAATCCCAATCTTACCATAACTTTCAGAAGCTCGACATGGTTAACCGTATCAAAGGCACTTTTTAGATCAACAAAGATACCAATAGTAGGTATCTTTTTGTTGACATTAGAGTTAATTTCATCCATTGCAGCCAAAATTGCATCTGTAGTAGATTTTTCTTTTCTAAATCCATATTGGTCAGAACATATAATTTTGTTTTTGTCCAAAAATTGTAATATCCTTTTTTGTAGTAATTTTTCGAAAATTTTGGCTATATTCGATAGTACTGATATGGGTCTATAATTTGATGTTTCCATTCTGTCACCGCTTTTATAAACAGGAGTAATAACAGTTGTTTTAAATGCATCAGGACAAATTCCAGATTGGAAACACCAATTAATGACGTAAGAAAGTGGTTCGGCTAAGTCGTAGGCTATTATTTTTAAATGGTCGGCTATGATACCATCTACACCAGGACTTTTTTTGGTTTTAAGTGATAGGACAGCTTCTTGTACTTCAATCGGACTAACGCTTTCTAAAAAGAATGAATTGGGAAGTTGGTTTTTTGTGAACTTTTCGTTCGAAACCATTTTTTAATACTGGATGCTAAATTTTCTCCAACATTAATGAAAAAATTTAAGAATGCATCGGATATTTGTCGTTTATCTGTTAATATTGTTCCATCACGTTTCTTAATTTCATCAATATTTGGCTTTTCTTGAACGTCTTTGTTAGTTAAGTGATCGACAACTGACCACAGTTTTCTTGGATCAGATTTGGCATCTTGTAATTTTTTTAGATAGAATTGGCGTTTTGCTTCTCTAACTAGATTGATAAAAATATTTTTATATTCTTTATATTTATGGGAGGTATCTGCACATGGAGATCCTTTCATTATTTTGTATAGTTCCCCTTTTTTGTTGGCAGACTTTATCAAACCTTTAGTTATCCAGGGATTCCTGCTTCTGTCAAAATGTTTAATTTTAACCCTGTTTGTGCTACATTCAATTAAATATTTTATGCGTTCAATGAGTGTGTTTGCAGCATCATTAACATTCGTTGCACAGTACACTGCTGTCCACGATTCTAATTTGATATTTGCAAGTAGTTTTTTATTATCGACAAAACACCTAAATTTCACTGTTTCATTATTGGAGATGGATCTACTTTTATTTTTTTCTGGTGATGATATAAGTATTACAGTGGGTAAATGATCGGTAATATGGTTTTCAACAATTAACGGTATGTACCGAAAGAAATTTGAAAAAACTATTATTGACTACTCTTGTTGGTAAATTTATATTTGATATGAATCCATTGCTCTGCATTACAGTGAGGTATTTGTTTACTAATTTGGTATGTTGGAGTATATTAATATTCATATCTCCTATTATGATGTGGTGTGACTGTATGGCATTTTTGTTATCTAACAAAAAGTTTTCAAGATTTTCTACAAATGTATAGGGGTTTGATGATGGTGGTCGATAGACAGATGTGACTTTTACACTTTTGTTATTAATTCTCAATATCAAATCCAACACTGATATATAAATTTTTCCTTTTCTTCCAAAAGCTGTTTAAGATAATAATTCTCTTTGA